TCCTGCCACTTCATCTCTCTTCAGTAAATCAGTACCTTGTTTCAGATACCCTCAATGTATGTTCCTCCCCACAATGTTAGAGACCATGTTTCACATACACAGACAGAACCACAGACAAAATGATAGTTTTGTATGCTTTTAGACAGTAGACAGAGAGAAGATATAAGGTTCTGAACTGAATGGTAGCAAGCATTACCTGAATTCAATTTCCTCTAAATTCACTTTTGGATCAAAGTTTGATTTGTTACTGCTGTTCCCAGATATTTGAACTGTGCCACATTTTCAAAATATTTGTTACTTATCTTTATGTCATGATTCTTCCCTGCATTCTTGTGATGAGACAGCAACATATACTTACTTTTCCCTGTATTTACTTCTAAACCAACCTCCTTACTAGTGTCAAAGTTTCTGTTTTTTTTTTGTTATGGTATTGTGGGATATCATTATATGAAGAGACAACCACTTGTTGAACTGTTCTATAATATCTATTATAGTTCAACAGTATACACAGACCAACCTGAACTTGAAGAACTGAAGAATAATGATAATAGTGAACTCTGTAATGCTTCGAATGTTGTATTGAAATGCAACACTGAACTAGAACTGTAAACTGGATAGGAGAATTATCAGACAGGTGTGTACCTGTACGGACTTTACTATATGGTTTATTTAAACACATTTTAATCAGCCAAACTAGCTTCATGGGTAACCCAAACTCTATCAGAACATTTTACAATACTTCCCTCCTAAGTGAATTATATGCTTCCTTGAAGTCTATGAGTGGCTGATGTACATACTGTCTCACTGTACCCCCATTTCTTCTCCACTATCTGATGAATGCAAAAGATCTGATCAGTAGTTGATCTGTTATGTTGAAACCCATGCTGATGATCCCAAATAACTTCATCTATGTATGGACTTAAACTTGAGAGAAAGATATTGGATAAAATTTTGTACAAAGTTCATAGCACTGATATAATTACTACAGTTAGTTTCAACACCTTCCTTGTGAACTGGTACAATAATAGATTCTGTCCACTGATCAGGCAACTTTTCCTTATGCAAAATAGAAGAATTAGCTTATGGATCTTACAACGTAATATTTCACCTCCTGCTTGAATCACTTCTGCCAGAATTTGATCACTATCTGGCGATTTATACCTTTTCAATTTTGCAATAGCACTTTTACCTCAAAAGGGATAGGATCAGGTACTAACGGCTCAGCTGTATGCATTTCTAACTGCCTAACATCAGTGACCCTATGTACATTCAACAATTGAGAGAAGTAGTTCTTCCATCCATTCAAAATGTTATGGGAATCTGCAAGCAAATCAACATTCTCATCTTTCACTAAGTTACTTCTAGGGTGCTAAACCCTCTTAAAGTCATTTATTCCTCTATACAGGTTTCTATGTTCTTGTTCTTGCTGTTAGTTGGAAGATCATAAATTTTCCCTTACAGATATTCCCTCTTCTTATTCCTGAAATGCCTGCTGGTTTTACGTCTTATATTGTTCAGATTATCCCCATACATTTCACTTGGATCCTGTAACCGCTGCAGTTTGGCTTGTCTAATAATTTTGAGCATCCTTCATCGAATCATGACTTATGCTTCTTCAGTTCATAATAACCTAGACCTTCTTTGGCAGAAATATTGATATTCTCTCTAATAGTTTCCCTAGCTTTATTAACATCCACCTTGGTGGATCCTTCAATAAATATTTTTTATCAATAGCGGAGACCATTACCAAAAGTACACTAAAAAATTGTGATATATTTGACATATGTAATAAGGCTAATGAATATTTAACTAATATATTTACAACCACTTTCTCTCTAATGAATTATATCTATGTTACAACAAATGAAATTGAAAAAATTATAGACAAATTGGAAATGATCAATTCTACTGGGTATGATGAGATCCCTATCAAAGTATTAAAAAGCTGTCAACATTTTATTACCTCATCCTTAACATACATAATAAATAAATTGTTAGCTACCGGTATATTTCCTGATAGGCTAAAATTCTCCGAGATAAAACCTATATATAAAAATGGTGATAAAAATCTTATCAATAATTATAGGCCTATATCCTTATTGACTTCCTTTTCGAAGATATTTGAGAGAGTGGTGTTTGGGTGTTTGTAAAACTTTGTCATCATTTGACTATCATTTTGAATGAAATTTTCCCCTGAAAAGGCCATTAATAAATTACTTGACCTGACCCTTCCCCCCCCCCCCTTTGGCACTACAGCCCCAGTGGGCCTAGGCTTGCCTCCATGAACTTCTCCGTTCACTTCGGTTTTTCTAGATCTAACACATACGGTAGGACTCCTTGAGTGAGTGATCAGCTCGTTGCAAGGCCTCTACCTGTAGACAAACACAGAAAAACGCATACAAACATCCATGCCTTGGGTGGGATTCGAACCCACGATCCCGGCTTCCGAGCGAGTGAAGACAGTGCATGTCTTAGACAGCTCTGCTACAGTGACCGGCGCTTGACCTGACCTTAACTGCCCTAAATGCTGGCCATAATGTGGGTGGAATATTTTGTGATTTGAAAAAGGCCTTTGATTGTGTCAATCACAAGATTTTATTATCTAAGTTGGAATTCTATGGTATTATAGGTCTGATGCATAAATGGATAGCATCTTATCTTAAAGGAAGGTTCCAAAGAATTAAATTACAAGGCAATGATAGTAACCTAAATACCTATTCAAATTGGGGCTTAATATTCCATGGTGTCCGCAGGGATCCATTTTGGGTCCCCTGTTATTCTTGATCTATATTAATGATTTGCCTCTAGTATTAAATAGGACTTCCTATCCTATCCTCTTTGCTGATGATACTAGTGTGATTATATCCAATCCAGATCCTCTAAAATTTCCTGCATACTGTGACTGAGGTTCTCAATAAATTAAAATTATTGTTTAATGCTAATTTATTGTTCTTAAACTTTTCCAAAGCTGAATTTGTCAAGTTTAATACAAAAAATATGCATGAACATGAGATAAAGATAGTATATTATAACATGGAAATATCCAACTCAACCAGTTTAAAGTTCTTGGGGGTTAATATTGCAAATACTCTGACTTGGAAAACTCATACTGACTCACTTATCCTGAAACTTAGCTCTGTGTGCTATGCAATCCAAGTCATAAAACCATTTGTGAATCAGGAAACTTTGCTGATGGTTTATTATGCCTATTTTCACTCTATTATTCGATATGGCATTATTTTTGGGGGTAACTCTTCATACGCCAGCAATGTCTTTCGTTTGCAAAAGAGGGCGGTGAGACTAATAACTGGTGCTGGCAATAGAAACTCATGTAAAACGATATTCACTACTCTAAAAATTCTTACTCTGTCATCTTTGTATATTTATTAACTACTATCTTTTGTGGTCGATAACATGGATCAATATTATTTTGTATCTGATATACATAATAGGGACACTAGACAGGTACTCAACATAAATCTATTATCAACCCTCAACTCGTTTATCAATATATCAAAAAGGCTCATATTATACGGGCATCAAACTATTCAGTTGTCTCCCACTAAATTTGAAGCAATTATATAAAGATATTAAGCGGTTTAAATTAAAACTAAAAGAATTCTTGAATTGTCACCCATTTTATACTGTGGATGAATTTTTTGTATATACTAGTCGTTAAGATTAATTGTATTCTGGTTCTATTCTTATGTCTTGACTTAGTTCTTTGTGCTACTTATTTATCTATGACTTTTCCACATCCTAAAGTATTGGATTTTATGGAAATAATAGATGAGTAACGAAAATTAAAAAAGAGCTTGTACTGTCTTGGTTCTGCATTGTTTTTGTAAAGCAGGGGAGTTTTTGCTGTATATATAGCTGATATGTTTTATTATTATTATTATTATTATTATTATTATGAATGCCTTAACTTGTCACCCATTTTATACTGTGGATGAATTTTTTTGTATATACTAGTCGGTAAGATTAATTGTATTCTGGTTCTATTCTTATGTCTTGACTTAGTTCTTTGTGCTACTTATTTATCTATGACTTTTCCACATCCTAAAGTATTGGATTTTATGGAAATAATAGATGAGTAACGAAAATTAAAAAAGAGCTTGTACTGTCTTGGTTCTGCATTGTTTTTGTAAAGCGGGGGAGTTTTTGCTGTATATATAGCTGATATGTTTTATTATTATTATTATTATTATTATGAATGCCTTAACTTGTCACCCATTTTATACTGTGGATGAATTTTTTTGTATATACTAGTCGGTAAGATTAATTGTATTCTGGTTCTATTCTTATGTCTTGACTCAGTTCTTTGTACTACTTATTTATCTAATATGACTTTTTCACATCCTAAAGTATTGGATTTTATGGAAATAATAGACGAGTAATGAAAAATGAAAAAAGAGCTTGTACTGACGCCTGAAACCTTTGAGAGTTCCATACCAGGGGAGTTTTGTTGTATATATGGCTGTGTTCTTTTTTTATTTTGTTTTATATTATGAATGCCTTGACTTGTTCCTGTGGGAATGGAATGTGACTCATTCTATATCCAATGGTTCTTTCCCAGCCTGTATCTGATCTATTTTTGAATTTGAAATAAATTGAATTGAACAAGTTTTCCAAAGCTACGAACGTATTTGAGATTTCAACACGATACTGCTCCTTACTGTCTACCTCGTTTCAGTTCTTGAGATCGAACCCCTCCATATGAACTCTGTGCATTATTTCTTTACTGACTGCTCAGTATGTGACTGAATTTTTTTACATTGGCGGAAATAAAACGTTTAAAACACTGGCTAAGTTACCAGCTGTAAACATGAATACTACAATACCTATCACTACTGAGTAATTGCTCACAAAGAATTAACCTCCATTAACTTCATGGAATCGGTCCTAAAACCACCATCCCAGTCATACTAATTTCCGCAATTTTCATAGTTTGTTGTCCCTACCACAGCGTTATCATGACCGAGAATAAAATTACTTACTGCAACCGATTCCATTATTCATGGATTTTCACAACCGATATCTATTCTTTCATACGTACTTCTAACCTCTACAATTGCAACTAGTGGAACTAGTGAACGTGGTAATCGACCGTAATCGACGGCCTACGTCGCCTACGTATCCGAAAACACCACGTCGACACGTCCACCAGGTCTACCAATCCTGAGCACACACGGAAGACACGGAAACTGCAGCCGACATTGCTATGGACACAGCACTGGCAACATGAGCCACGTATTTAGCGGAAGAACTACGCTCGTTGGCCAACGGTGTATAACTACCTAACATGGCGGCCTAACTGGCAGTAAAAACGAGAGAGGGGAAGACAATAAAATCACTTACCTCGCTCATGACGCTTATGACCCCCCATGACAGTGAGCTCTTTTTGAGAAGCCACTAATTGTGCAGCTACTGAAAAACTTCCCAGCATTCTATGGAACCCGAAGGTTTATTATCGTGTTCACAAGAGCCCTCCACTGGTACCAATCCTGAGCCCGATCAATCCAATCCATATCATCCCATCCTCTCTTTAACAATTTTATGTTATTTTGTTGACAAGTATGGATTATATATGCTAGTGATTTTGTTTGTGAATGTACAAGTTTCCAATGTCTTGTTGACATGTTTTATATTCTGTGCCTGCGCACATTTGTGAATAATCTGAAACACAAATGTATATGTATGTATGTATGTATGTATGTATGTAAGATCCATTCTGATATTGTCTTCCGTCTTCCCAGTGGTCTCTCTCCGGATGTTCCCACCGAAATACTATATTCAGTGCTTTTTGCCTTCATTCATACTATATGTCCTGCCAATTGTATCCTCCTAATCTTGGTCATTCTAATTATACTTGGCAAGAAGTACAAGTTACAAAAGTTCCTCATTATGCAGTTTTCTCCAACATCCTGCTGTTTTATCTCTCTTCAGTCCAAATATTCTTCTCAGACATCGTTAGTCAGTGTTCCTCCAGATAACATTAGATACCAAATTTCACACACATACAGAATCACAGACAAAATTATAGTTTTGTATGCTTTTTTGACAATAGGCAAGAAGACACAAGGTTCTGGACTGAATGGTAGTAACCATTACCTGAATTCAATTTCCTCTAAATTTCCTTTTGGATCAGATTTTGATTTGTTACTGTTGTTCCCAAATATTTGAACTGTGCCACATTTTTAAAATATGTTACTTCCTCCATGGCCAGTTACAGGGATACCTTTACTTCTTTATCTGAGAACAATTCTGTAATTGTATATTAATGTAATGTCCTTTGTAGCCCCTTTGTAAAAACTTACATAATTAAAAATATTAAAACTTTAATATTAAGATGTCAAACTGATGTCTCATATTTATACCTCCATGTGATTTATGGATACTGAATGTGGGATGCATTCTACATCTTGCTGCTACTTGTTTTGGGGCATGGATCTTCCTCTGTGCAATCTTATGGTGGTGTTTCTTCTCTTCTGTTGTATGCTTCGGTATGATCTTTGGATATGCGACTTTTTCTGTTCTTTGTTGCATTGTTTTACAGCCTGTTTTTCTTGTTACTGAAGCAGGCAGACCCATTGCTGGGCAAGAACAGCAAAAGAAGCAAATACAGAACCATTACTGAGTAATGCCTTCACAAACAAACATGTTTCCACAAAAATGACTGATTACAGTGATAAGGTGTTTTGTTTATACACGGTCTGCGCTGAGATGTTATAAGAAGGACAAGTTGGAAGCTGCAGTCAGTCATTCAGTGAAGAGAAGAGTAGAAGGTTAGTTTTAGGTGGCCTCCAGCATGAACGTTAGTCTGCTGTGAGATATTCACCAGCCAGTGAGAATGTAAGCAGAGGACACTGTCAAGATCTATTACCCGGAAATGATTAGTGAAGATAAAGAAGACTTTATGTGTGCTCCAATTACAGTGATCTTTAGTGTGTGGCTATTATAGTTATCTGTAGTTATCAGTTGTGTAAGTGTTCACTAAATCCAATCACTCATACCTGTGACATTATTTGCTTGTTCCTGCAGACCTGACTTTATTATGTAAAGTGCTGTGCACATATGTGGAACCGGTAATATTCTCAATTATATCAATTTTAACAAGGAGACTACATAGAACATTACATTAGTAAACAACTACAAAATTATTCCCAAATAAAAACACTGCCCAACACAGGGAAGAACAGATGAGATCAAAGTAACCTAAATTGGGTTTCCTCCCCTTCATATTACTGCCTTTGTCATATATGAGCCCACGCTGAATACTAAACCCAACACTTCCCCTTTGCATGGGGCCAGACAACAAATGCATCACTGATGTACCTGTACTAGTAGCTGGGTTTCTGTAGTAAAAGTTAATTGGATTTAAAGTTTTACTGTGCAAGGCCATTGCAGGGAGGCAATGAGGGTTATGAAAGGAAAGATGGCGCACTTAACTGTTAATCTAATTACTTTATTGTACATACATTCACCTATATGGTATGATACAGACTTATCTGGCTGCCACTGGCTATTTACATTACAATGTCTTTACATGAACTGCTAGAGATGGGTAGCACGCTTCTTGCGGAACAAGCTGCTAAGCACACTCGAGCGCTTGTCCTTGTCTTTGCGTCCTGGCGCAGTCTGTTGTTCACTCTCTAACAAGCTGTCTCCACGTGGCACATTGCGCTGTAAGCCCTCTAGACCAATGCCTGCAGGGGGAGGAGCCACATAGGGTGGCAGTGAGCTTGGTCGAATATCCCGGCCCTAGAAAACGCAACAGGAACATGTTCATGGACCAAAGAGACTGGAACTGAACACCAGGGCAATATTTTTGAGAAGGGCAGCAACTGAAATGAAAACAACTGCTTTGTTTCTATTCAAGAATGATTGAAAATACATATACATGGTGCAGATCACATAACGAATGTGCGCAAAACAAGGATACTGTGTCATGCATGTCATCACTCTTGAAGCATATACCTAGGGCGGTATCATCATAACCTTGCTATGATGTTGGTTCCATCAAAATGATGCAGGAATTCAACATTTTATGTGCCAATTCACACATGTGACTTAGGCGGGGCCTTGTTGGAAGACAGCAAGGAACTATGCATGACTATGAGTCATTAGAGCACCAAATCCACCCTGAAACAAAATGGGCTGGACAGGCCCAGAGCTCAAAAACAATTAGTAAGACCATCAGCTGCAAAGTCTGTGTTGACTGTTCTCTGGGACAGAAGCACTGTCATAATGACAAAAGCGATCCACAAGAAAGGGCAGATATCACAAATCTCTGAAGGCAGCACATGCTTCTTCTACACTGGCCTTACTGGACCTTGCACACAACAGCAAAACTGGTTCCTTGACTAACCATGACAATTCATACTGCACAGCAGAACAATTATCCTGATCTGAATTACATATTCAGTAACTACTTGATACTTACTGTGTGTCTGAGCTGCGACGCTGCCCCAACATTCACGGACGCTGCAAAATAAAAAATAATGATCAAGAGTCAACACTCACTGGCACCAAGAATTCTTAGTACAGCTAAGCCTTAAAGCTGCTGCTGGTGCAGTTGATAGGGTGTCACTAAATAAACTGAGAATGGTACAGAATATAATTCTGCTTTTATTCTGGATATCAGTAAGTGCCCAGAAAACAATTTCAAACTGAAGACATAGTATGGCTAGTGTAGTAATGATGCAACAGTTGTAGCACTGGGCACAACAGGGCAAGGTAGTCTGGCTACTGTGGCACCATGCTGCACAAAGATTGCCAGAAAGGACATAACATAATTTAATAACAAGGCACTTCTCAATTAATATTGAATAAATGTCTGACACCACAGACATCATCTTTGTTAATGCTGCAGTATTTTACTTTTATGAAGAGTTTATGTAAAGATGCTGATTGATTGATCAGTAACTGTCAGATGACAGGTCCACAGTCTCTTCCAAAACAGTTCCTCCACTTAATGTGATCTTCTGTTTTTGGAAAGAGACTATCCAGGAAAAGTGATAATGTGGTAGTTTTTCCATTTGCTTTCCACATCGCAGTACAACAGCCGTTCAAACCACTCTGGTCACGCCTGTTGCTATATGAACTTGAACCATCTCGAGCATCATTTGTTCTGTGCTTCAAGTCGCTGCTGATGACGCTGCTTCCGGCATCAGTTTTTGGTTTTTGGTGTCTCTCTTCGTCTGATGCCTACCCTTTGACCTGTCCAGCAAGGGAGGCCCTGCCAGTAGCTACGCTACCGCTGGTATAGCTCTCAGGGTCCTTGGCATGCTATGGGTATCAAATTTGTCAGATATAACCTCCAGTTTCAAGTCTCTAACTACTGACTTACAATCAATATTTTATACATAATGTTCAGGTATGTACCTCCTTCCATACCAAATGGTTCAGCTGTCTCTGCCACCAACCAAAAGCTAAAACAGAATTTCACATGGCCACAACGTTGCTAGTCTTAACAAAAAGTTCTATATTTTTGAAAATATAAATCATTTCAGCAACCTACATGAAGTAACTCTACTGTCGCCTCCACCTCACGATTTCACACTTCCACCATGCTGTTTTAACAAACTATCAAAATGTAAAAGATAAAGTCATCCTTGTGCTTAACTAATTAAGCACTACGCCATGAAGATGTATGGGGGACTGGATGTATAGATCCACGTATTCTTGACCTCGGCACAACTTGGAGGTGAGTGATTGGTTTCAAGCCCTGGCTACTATACTCCTGGGGAAACAGCTCCCAGTATCCACTGGACAGGTCCTAGAACCAATCTGGACAATGTGGAGAGAAAAAAAAATTCCTCTGACGGGACTTGAACTGTGACCCGTCAGCCGCCCAGCCTCTAGCCAGTTGCTATACTGGTTTCTTATAACCAACTGGAAAATTAAAGGCGCAATTTTTGGAGCAACAACCTTTGGTATAACATTAATGCCAATTTTTGCACCTTTGTGGTCTAGTGTTCAGAGTTCCAGAGGTCCGGGTTCGATTGCCGGCTCTACCAGATTTTATCTGAGAAGTAGAGGGTCTGAAATGGGGTCCACTCAGCCTCGTGATGATAATTGAGGAGCTATTTAAAAAAAAATAGCTGCTCCAGTCTACAAACCCGAAATTAACGGCTGTGGGGATTCGTTGTGCTAACCACGTAATACCTTCTATCCGCTAAAGTTGACACTAAAATTCGCCAACAAGTGGTGGTCGCTCAGTCAGTATAGTTACTTGCGGACTAAAATCACACAGTTTGTTTTATGAAAATCTGTTGCTCAGAAGTTACAGAGGGGCCATATACAATGGTGATATGATAAGCAAGGAATATAGACTACGTCACAGCAGTTGCAGTGTGTGCATTTGACTGCAGCAGTGACTATGCTGGATGCTGCAGCTCTGCAGATTTGCAGCACTAATGCAACCTACCTTAACTCAGTCCTGATTACAACTGACAAGAATGGCCCATAGTAAGAACAGAGTATTTCTTTCAAAGCATAAAAATGCAATCATTTTGTTTCACCAGGCATTGCTAGCTCAAAACTAGGTTCAACAAGAACAGTAACTGCATGAAACATGAATAATATGTAAATGTTCTGCCTAAATTATCTTAGTGAGAAACAAAGTTCTCAAGTTCTCTTTCCTTTAGGTTAATTTTCAAGGCTGACTGGCCAATTGGATTTGATTGGGATGTCTCAAAGTCAAGACTGTGTTCAGAGATAAGCATTCCTCTGCAATCCAAACATTACACCCCACCAAGGAAATTCATTCACAGTCCACACAACACAAAAGGCAAGCGATGGATATAATACTGACCCTGATATGTGGCTTGCTGCTGTTGATGGCTCCAGTGGTCAGCACTGCCAGTTCGGGGCCTGAGGGGGGGTGCAGAAGACGGCAAGGGTGGGGGTATGTCTACAACAGTACAAGTGGACATATCTACAAACACTACATATACTACATACAAACACTAACACCAACACATAAATTACAAACCCTTAAAAGTGTTAAGTCCCATTACAAAGCATTAAGATGAGCTGAAGACATACCTTTCTGAATCCAGTCATGTCTTACCACTGACCCTGATAGCAAGACTGTGTGACACTCATATGAGGAATAAATTAACAAATGTCCATCACATGTAACCACCACACATCACAGCTGAGTACTCAGCTCTCCAGTCTCATATTCTGGAGGTCTCAGAATCAAACCTTAGCTTGGAGAACAGCTACCTTGACTAAGTGAGTCACTTTCCAACAGATTATTCACAAGTTGTCTTACCATTTGGCCTACTGAAGCAACCATTAAATAGAGCATGTGGAACTCGCAATATAAGAACTGAGTGCTATATCCTCAGGAGCAGCAACAGCAAGAAGGGGGCAGACACTAAGAGGTGCAACAAAAGTGAACAGTGAATGCAACCCTGCAATAACTGTTAACTCACAATATATGAACAGCTCCCACACGTACACAATAATTCGGTACCTCTGGGGCTCAATATCAGCAACAAAACTGATTTTAACTTGAGGTGCACAAGAGACTTCTGTGAAGGACGAAGCGCATACTGAAAATATTTCGGTAATATATATTGGAACAAAAGAAGGTACACCCAATTCATACTTATTTTGATAGTAAGCACCCAAATACTGATCCTGGGGCTGTGCCACAGCTCAGGCCGTTAGTTTCCAGCTTCCCACCACAGCAGAGTTCAATTCCAAGTCAGATCATACATGATTTGTGGTGGACAGAGAGGCACTAGTGCAGGTTCTTCCTAGTACTTCAATTTCCCCTGCCAATTTTCATTCCAAAAACTACTTCACATTCATTAATAGTTCTATCATGGTCTTTACATTGACATCATTAAATAAAAGAACAAAAATACTGATATTCTGCTTTCGGAACCTCACACATGTAAAGTCTATTTTTAGGAAACAGTCACACAAGACACTTATCAAATTAAATTTGTTTACACTTAATCTGTCAGTATGACATAATAGAAAACACTGTGTGTGAAATGTGTACTCCAGCATACAGAATTTAATGCATGAGTGCATTCATGGCCCTTCCTTCATAATCTGCAAAACAAATGGACCAAAAGACATCAAATTTCTAGAAGTACACAGCACATTTTTTTTTTGTTTCAATGGAAATGTTTTGTAGCTGATGATCATATGAAAGAAGTGCTATCATTGTTTGCATACCCTTGTTTAAAATTGGCTAATATACTATAAAGCCCTCTTACTGGGAGATGTGGGAGCACAAGAGATAACACTAAGACTACTTATGTGCAGTCACTGAAACTGAACGAGGGGAGCACTTGTTGTTGCCTTTATACTTTGATACATAGCAGCACCACAACTTAAGCTACCCATGAGCAACATTACCAACTTCCAAAACTGCAGCTAACACTGTCTAGCTCCACACACTATACTACTTCAAGTGAAGCATTTAAGACAGAATTTTAAACAAAGTAAATATTCTACAGGAAATAGCACAACAGTCTGTGAGACAGGAGCAAACATGACAGATCCTTAATACTCACCATTTTCTCAAGAACCACATCAGTGAAACCCGCTATGGTTTAGTGGGTCTGGTCCCTACAAGCTCATCTCGCAGAAACTGCACGTCATATTTGTTCGATCTTTGTGCACTGTCAAACTGCTGATTCTACATTACTGTACACCAAAGCATTACCTGTTATTGCACCAGTGGGAGCACATGGTCCAGCTGGCCAAGCATCACACTCTATGTACGTGGTCTGACAATAAAGTTTGTGAACTCATCCAGGTAAAAGTGTTACGTACCTCAGTGCTGCATATCACTGCAGTCGCCTTCAAAGTACTCCCCTTGGGAAGCTATGCACTGATGCCAGCACCTAGTCCACCCTTCAAAAAACAATTCTGGAACTGGTTTCCAGAGCTTCCATCATATTACTCATGATGTTATCAATGGCATTAAAATGCCTTCCTTTCAATATTTCTTTTATCTTCAGGAACAAAAAAAAAATCACTGGGGCACAGAACCGGTGAACAGGGAGGGTGTTCCAGCATAGTTATTAGTTTACTGGCTAAGAACTCCCTCAAAGACAGTGCTGTGCAAGCAGGTGCAGTCATGATTCAAAACCCATAGTTACTGGCAAATGTTTGGGTGATTTCCTTCCAACTCTTTCATGCAGCCTTTTCAGTACTTCCAAATAGTAAACTTGGTATGCCAAAGTCATCAAACCATACTGGGGTTTCTGTCCACTGCTGCCACGGTAAGCATACAGTGGCGAGTTTGCGAACTTTATTATCAGACCTCATACATTAGCCATTATTCCAGAGTTAAAATTCAGCTGCTGGCCCTAGGGACCTAGCAGATTTAACCTTTAACGGATGAATGTTATATATATCTACGACAAGCAGCACCCCACTATGGCCGAATGTTATATTTATATGAGGCAGGACACTGCTCCATTTGGGTGTGATCTTGGGTTTGAAACCAAAACAGACCCATGCAAGGTCATGTCAGTGATTGATTCCTTAGCTCTAAACAATGAAACTGTTTATCATGGTACTGGTTTCGATATGACTGTTTATGACCTGGTCAGCCAAATAGAGCCCAGCTTCATTCTGAGAACTGAGGAGTAAATATTCATCTGTGCCTCCAGAGCTTTCAATGTGACATATTGAAGGACTGGTTTTCAGTAGCAAATTATCAGATAGGAAGTCAGTGTCAGACTGTCATATATTTCTTTATATATCATTTTTATTTTGTGTCTTGGAAGTGGTATAAACCTACTGGGCCAGTATTACTTTGTGAGTGAAAGGCAGCTTCGCCACTGCGACTTTTGGTATCAGTGTTGGATTGGCACTCTTTTCAACTAGTATTATAATTACTTTGCATCACTATTTCGCAAGTATTACTAACAGGTGAGAGTGTTGATTTGTCAATCATCATAATTTATTTGACTTCACTGGAAACCCCCCTCCCCCAAGATGACTCTTCAACCGCACAAGGTGAATTTCACAGTCAGTGGCGTTTCTTGGGGGAGGCCAAGGTTATCTGGGGCCCAACTGAGTTGAAAGGACAACCAAAGGGAAACAAAGACGTCGTGTGTGTTCGCTAAATAAAAAAAGCATGAGCACCATTTTCTATTTTAAAAAGTGTGATGTTTCGCTGTGTGTCGCGGACTGCTTCGAGAAGTGGCACACGTGCATCAGAGTGTGAGGTATTGTAAACTGTGAAGTGACGCAATTCAAACTCGCATACAGTCTGAACAAAATATTTCTGTATATAGTGTGATTATATTTACAATATCAACAAGTCTCAGAGCTGGAAAAAAACTACAGGTAAATCCTCTGGAATTTCATAACATAATAAAGATTATATTTTGCATTTCATGACAAAATAATCACAGTTAATTTTCGTTTGTAAAAATTACTCTTTTGTGTATATGTAGAATATTTTATTGTCTTTCAGGTTGTTTTTAGTTCGTATTTCTATGTTGCATAGAACAGAAACTATGTAGTTTTTCTGACAGTCTGGAATGTTAAAAGAGTTGGGGCCATTTAAATTCTGGCCGCAAAGGGCTGCCGGCAATTTAAAAATCCATACGTTAAAGGTTAAAATCACCTGCTCCTGGACAATACAAACTACACTTCTCAACTGACACCATTTAATGGAGCAAACTGGAACTGCAGGACATTTCTCAAGATGTCCATCACCTTTACAACAACAGGCAGACTGCCATGTGCACACAAACCTTGCTGCTGCTGTCCAAGCTCCATGTGGCTACGTCTGCAGTTGCCTGCATCCGGTGTGGGAACACCATTCTGATGGTATGAGAGTGGGTGCATTTCTCCACCTGTAAATGCAGTCACAGATTTGTCTGAATCTGGAAGATCGACAACCCAGAAGGACTGCCACATTACCATCTGTAACTGTGACTACTGCACAAGGCTCCAGCCTTGAGAACTGTGGGGTTAGAAGTGTGCTGGTGGAAGGTATGAGAGAAGGGAGAAACAGTGCATTACACTGTACAGTAGTATTGCAATAGTTCAGAGCATATCCGTCATTAGTTTGGTAGTGTGTTTGCAATGCTACTGTAGAGTAACCTGCAATGTCTCTTCTCAGGTAGTACTTGTAGTCATTGAGCCATACCATTTACAGTGTCTTTAACACTGTGTGCTCTATGCATTCCTCACAAGTCTCAAGATTACAGTTTTGAATAGTACCAAACATCATCATGACATCCGTAACACTGGGGACAACTGTCTTCTCCTCATGCCACGTGCACTCACCAGCTCCAGGTAGCTTGTTCCTCAAGGTGACTGCCTCTGTGCTCAGCGAGCGTGTTGGTATGGGTGGAGGAGCTCCCCGTGGTGGTATGGAGGGCTTCTGTGTCTGTGTGGAGGGCTCCGGAGAGGAGCCACGGCTTGATGCTGAACTGGCATCCCCAGCAGTGTCCCTTGTGTCTCCAGGTGCCAATGGTCGCCCCACACTGCCAGGGCTCTGCACATTAAAATCAGTCAGTGGACAAAATGCTCTCATGTTCAATGATCTGACTCTTATCTCCCTCTATTCAATGATTAAAAATATCATCTTATGGAAAAAGAGATGCATAAACTGGGCCAGGTGAATCCATCATAGCCTGGCAGTCCCTACATCTCAAACGTTAGGGTTTCCTTACAATGCTGTACTAGCTTCATCTTGAGTCCCCACATACCTTACATAAAGGACAACTCCTCACCTTGTGTGAGTCATCATAGCTGAGCAGCTGCAAACTTGGGGGCAGCTTGGCATGGAATGATATTTTGTTCACCCAGTCCTCCATCTCCCGCTCTGTCGTTGCAAGGAACAGGAACTCGGAGCCATCAGTACAGCATAGCCTGACAACCATCACACAGAAAATTGTCAAATGTGAAATGAAGGCACAAACCTTGTTATTTCCAACTGTGAGAGGGATGGACAGTTGCAAGACCATGTATGTGTAAACTGTTTTCAAACAGTCTCCAAGAGGAATACTACAGCAAGCCAAAAGAGCTCATACAATTCAACAATCACACTTTCTTGACCCTAAACTGAATGCCAAAAAGATTTTTCTGGTCTGTTTTTCCATCAGTGCTTCACTTTTGTGGATGGGAGGTAATTACAATCCATGTCTTTTATGACCACAACATTCATGTGGGAATGACTGCTATATGATACAACAGTAGAGGAACCCATTCCTTGTCCAGGGTATGGTTGTTTTCTTGTCAACATCATAGTACAGGATGGCCAGAACTTCAGATAATAACATCTGAATTACAGAATTACAGTTTACTCATGTACTTTGTGGGGGGGGGGCAGATTCGAAACAAAAGACTTGAATCACATCCAGATCTCCAGCTCAATACATGCACATCACTTTAATAGGCTTGGCTACAGTATATATTTGCAAGACCATATGGAGTACATTTTGAAATTTTTCTGAGTGTTCTCAGTTAGGTCTGAGGCAAGAAGCAAAAAATTGGCAGGAAGATCACATTTGTATACATACCAGATTTACAAGCCATAACTAAACTTTTGTCACCCTGTGCTTATTATTTTTTTTATTGCTAGTGGGGTGGGACTAAGTCCCTTGTACTGCGGCCACTTCTGGCCTATCCTACCAGCCCCAGATGATAGGTGAGGGTGATTGTAGAGCAATTGGTGGAATGAAGATTGGCAGGGGAAACCGAAGTACTTGGAGAAAACCTGTCCCAGCGCCACTTTCTCCACCACAAATCCCACTTGACCAGACCCGGGATTGAACCCTGGCTGCCACAGTGGGAAACCAGTGACTAACCGCTTGAGCTATGGCGCGGTTGTGTTAAGTAATTAAGAACTACCCCATGAAGGCATATGTGGGAGTGGGATGTGTAAATCCCCATTTTCTTGACCTTGGCACTAGCTGGAGGCGAGTGTTAAGCTTCACGCCCTGGCCACTTTATCCCCGGTACCCACTGGATAGGAGGTTGAGTGGACCCCAGAGCCATTCTGGAAGATGTGAAGAGAAAATTCTTGAACCTATCGGGACTTGGAACTCTGGCCCCTCGGCTGTCCAGCCTGTAGCTGGTTGCTACACTGACTTATGTTATCCCAGTTCATGCCCTAACAAACTAACAAACATTAACTACAACAGGGTACTTCCTGGTTCTCCTGGGCCTGAAGTAGAGGAAAGACACCTGACCTTATATATGGGCAAACACAGTTGACAGTGATCTCACCTGAACACATGTTTGCGTTTGGTATAGTCTTCGGCCTTCTCGCAGTGTGCCTTGAACACTATGATAGGTGATGTGGCAGCCTTGCTGGCCAGGAAGTCATCATGGTCACGGAAGAAGCATAGCAGCTGGCCACAAAGTACTGCAACATGGAACATGATGCAAGAAATTCTACTGTCACCTGCAGATGTCACTATATGGGGCTGTCTCAATTACACCAACCACTTACATGATTTTCAACAGATTTCACTTTACTGGTTAACAGCTGTAATACCTCTGCAACAGTTTTCTGATAATTTTTAGGCACTTATTTTGAAAACTTTCAATTACTTTTTAACAGTTACAATCAATACACTGGACCAGAAGGACCATTTGTTCACCGCTAATACAAAAAACAATCAGATTCTCCCATCATACAAAGTGAAATGACATGTAATTAGCTTTAGCATATCACCGATGTTAATCTACTATGAAATAAAGTCAATATTCCTAGCAACTTCAAAATTTGAGAAAATTTGCAGGAAACTCCCATAAAGTTTGGAAGTGGCTAATGTTTGAAAAATGCTTCACTGTGATGTACCCACACTAAAATTTTAAATCACAGGGCAGGGTGGGTCCTCTCCCCACTGCTGTTACATACCACCAACATCAATGCAAATAGTATTTTAACTCAGGAAACTGGAAATGAACTCAGCCCACGATTCTCACCTGCACAGACAAGTGGTTCAGGAGGAGGAATCCTGACGCACAAAAGAAATGTCAGTAGAAGCTCTGCAGACAACAGGAAATGGGACATATAAAATAAAATATAAAATAAAACACATTTCACCACCATGGGAATGCATGAAAGATGAAAAGTGAAATGTGTCTGCTGAAAGTCCACTTGGACATGGAAGGAAGAGCCACTCATTTGCTTCTTACCTGTGTAGAATGTTTTCCAGGAACGGACAGGAGCCTTCTTGCCAGCGCTCTGCAGTTCATGCTTCCGGTCCAAAGTGCCCTGGATCTCAACAGGTGGCAGCTGCTCCAGCTGCTCAAGTCTTTGCAGTTTCCGGAAACTCTGAGTGCGACGGCGTGTTGTGAAGCTTGGTGTGCGCTTAGGCTTCTTCAGCTCTACTTTCATGCTCTCTGCACGCTTGATGTCTGCACATACAAACAACTAACTTTGTTGGATGCAACATGTGGTGATCTAATGCTCATCTTCAGTGTTAAGTTCTACTAGAAGCTTCTAGCAGTTTGAGAGTCTGCAAGGGCAGTAATATACATAGAAGCAACGTTGTAACTTGAACTTTTGTTTCTAGATTAATTTGCATTACAAGATCTCCATTCTCATTTCCAGTTCTGGTGCAATTTCTTTCTTAACAAAACAACCTGACATACAAGTACAAGCCATTCTTTAACCACAGATAATACTCTTCAACTTCAGCTGCTTGAAAATGACTGCCAAATAAAATGACATAATTATTTGATCCCATTCAATAAATGAAGACTTGTATAACTGCCACTATCCTATCTTCTGTGCACATTACTCTGTGGGTGAGCTATCATAGTGTGAACGCAGCAGTTTCCAACTGGTGAGTCAATATGAAGTGACCGTGCAGTGGTGTCTCACCTCGCCGCATCTGCTCACCAAACAGCTGTGACACGCTGCCTGCCTTGTGGAGTGTTCCTGCACTCACTGGATCAGGTATGTCCATAGCGTTCAACCTGCAAACATACACATTCCTGGACGATGTGTTCTAAACATGCAAGTAGAGCAAAAAGGTTTGGGAGGAACAAGCTATCCTGCATTTCGTGCTCCACCCATCCAAACACAATAGTGAAACAGTGAATCCTTTTGTAAAAGTGGCCACAAATCACTGAACCTCTAGGAGCAAAGGGTTGGACCCTAGTGTCATAATAGACCCAAGACTTGGATCTTAAAAAATGTTTTCAGTTTTTGGAGTTCTGTAGCAATCATGCAGGCCACTTATGAAACCCCACCCAGTCCATTAACTTGCATAAATTTTGGGGTGAGAAGGTACATCCATTACCAAGGAAATATGGCAAATGAAAAAAGTTAATGAAATTGAGAAGACAGCTGACACTCAAACAGAGCCACACAATTAATGGGTTATAACATCAGTACCAACCTGAGAGAGCCAGTGGTGGGTCCACTGCTACTGGAGTGCGCCATGTTGAACACAGGCTGGTACGGACCATTTTCGATCATGAAGCTGGGCAGCGCGCTGCATGCAAGGTTAGTCATGCAAACAAAGCATCAAACGATCCTCACCCACTAACACTACAATCCCCCTAAGTTAACCACATCACAGAGAAGCTCATCTGCTTAACAAACTAAAAGGCATGACTTCATTTATTGAATTTTTGGGCCAGTCTACATTAAGGGAAGAACACAGCCTGGGAATGCTTCAGAACAGCGTACAGAGGAGACTACCTGAACCTAAGAGAAGTTACAGGGGAATAGAGAAAATTACATAATGATGAGCTTCACACTGTTCACACAGTACTGCTAGGATCATTAAATTTGTAAGAGATATAGACTAAATTGAAATGGGGAAAAATGCATAGATAAGTAATGCTGAAAGGCCTAAAGGTTAGCAACAACTTGGCGCACAAACAGGCACAGATGGGCAAACCAGATATTAGAATGGACCACACAAACTCACCTGTATGTGTGAAAAATGCAAAGAAAAAACAGATTCAGGATGTGGCTCAGGACAAGTCAGTGCTGAAATTATGAGCTCCTTAATAGGGAATTCTGTTTGCCACCATGCTGTAGCCACAGACTTGGTTAAGTTAGACTAACCAAACAGCATAAGTGCCATGTACCTGCTACCACTAGTACTGATGTTCAGCTGGTCAGAACTCCCATTCATTTCATCCCGCACAACACGTAACTCCTGTGTCCGCCTCCGCTCTTCCTCTCGCTTACGCTCCTGAAGACAGAACATACAAGGTTTAAATAACTGTGTGGGACCTGAGGAGAGATGCACAACTGTTTCACTGGCAAGGTCCATGATTTCATATGCCAATTCTACAAAATAAAATATGGGCTACTATTTAAACTGACTCATAACTGCAGAACCCTGAAACAGTATTTGTGGCATGGTCTTTCTGCACGCTTGGTGAGGGGGTGACTTGCAAACAAGGATGAATGGAAAATATACTTACAAATACAAAATCTTCAATAACCTCAGTATTACGACTGAACGTTGGAACAAAAGTAACAAAAGGGAAATTCATGAGAAAATTAAAAGTAAAACAAATTATTTTTAGTTTACTCCCCTTATTTTGAAAAAATAAAACTACGCTCATGAGATCACCTTACTGTGTATGTGTATCGCCCAATCAACTTTTGAATTCCTGAACCAGTCATTATGAAACTCAATATGTATCATGCACCTGAGCCCATCTCAAACACATACTTCATAAATCCCTTCCATCCGTCTGTGAGTCTCTCTGTGTACCCCTCCTAACGTTGTCAGAAAAAGACTTGGTAAACGCATTCCTGCAGCAATGGATACACCCATCAACAGAAGAACTGTTGGGCATGTCAGGGGAAACCAAAGTATTTGGAGAAAACCCACCACAGTGCCACTTTGTCCACCACAAATCCCACTTGACCAGACCCAGGATTGAACCCGGGCCACCGCAGTGGGAAGCCAGCAACTAACAGCTTGAGCTATGGTGCGGCCGTTTCAAAGGAAAGTAGGAAATTAATTATTCCCTGAACTTCTTGCTCTGTCTTCTGATATGCTTCCATCAGAAAGATATGTCTACATTTGTTAAACAAACATATGGCACTGCCTAATAAACTGAAATAGCACTGACAAATATAGAGGGCATTTTGAATGAAATAAAGGTATGGAAATTCACAGAATGGGGAGAAAAAAATCCAAGGAACATGGGGGGGGCATACCTCTGTAATTCGCTGCACCTCTCGTCTCTTCCTAGCTTCAATGCGTTCACGTTCTACGCGTTCCTTTTCAGCCTGGCGGGCAGCCATTTCATCCCTTTGCTGCTTCTGGAATGCTTCCTCTAACTGAAATTCATAACAAAGCGAACTGTTCAGTACCCACAGAACTTGTAAGACGTCTGTGTTTATACCAGTTTCTCATACAGCCTTATCAAGGGGAAGAGGGAGAGATGGTGGCAGGATTCTTACTACTAATGGTATCAGGGGAGGATGCCTCAGCAATTTAAATATCGCAATTTCTACAAAAGTTGAGAGACTCTTTAAATAACCTATTATGCACATAAATCAAAATTTATGGTACAAGCATTTCTGCTAATGTTTCCCTTCTCATATGGATGCATAGGCCATGTTCACACTTCAAGCACCTAGGCACACTGAGCAGCCTGTACAAACTCACCATAGTAATCCGTCGCAGGGCACTGAACTTATCCTCCTGAGCCTCAATTGTCTTCTCAAAGTCCTCGTGCTTGCGTATCAGATCCTCCACCTGCGCGATTGTCTCCCCAAACTTCCCATCATGTAGCAGCGGTTCACGGGATATGATCCAGTTCTCCAGCAAGTCAGCCTCACGCTTGAACACCTGCAATAACACCTGCATGTCAACACCACGTGCTCACGGCACAGTACCCTGACAGTTTGAATGAGGCAGCACAGTACCTGTGTGTCCAGGTTCTGTGCATAGATGGCCTTGCGGCGGGCCCAGGTGTCACTCAGCAGTTGCTTGCGCTGCTCCAAGATGCTGATCTTTTCCAGAATCTCATTTGCCAGGAAATGGCCTTCGGCTATGAGCTTGTGTCCTGTATGAGAAAACTGGGCGAAGGCATCTGCCCGCGTGTCAATCTCAGCGCAGTGCTCTTCGTGCCGCACTAATAGTGCCTCGGCTCCTGGCACATCCTGGGCCAGGTCAGGTGCCGTCACCTTTGCTATCATCTCATTTATCCATGCCCTGCAAGAGTATTCACAACATTCTGAAGGACTCTGCCATAGTGTGCATGTACACTGAAAACCACAACTGAACAAGTATGGCCTGTAATGACAACTTGGTCATACCATGCAAAATAACTGACACTGCATATTTCTTATTATTACGTGTGTGCTAATATCTGACACAAAATGAGTGCTTCTTTCCAGCACATTCATGACGATGAGCGATTCCAAACCAGCACTTCTTTTGTAACTCTTTGCACTGCCTGTAATGGCAGTTTTGTTTCCCCAACTGGCACAGCACATAAAGGCATAATTACCCAGCCTTTGTGCCTTTCCCGTATCTAGAGGTCCCGAGTCTGCACTCCAGAATGTAACTGTGCAAATGAGAAAAGTTCATCACATAATCTTAGGCCATTAGCTCATTACATTGTGAACTGTTACTTGGCTAACGACCAGGAGTCAAAATGTTTCCGTGAATTGTTCATAATCCTTAACGCCAATTATGCTTGGACCTGAACACAAAGCCCATGCCCAAGTGAGGTCAGTCTCTCTGCAAACAGTGAAACAGGAACACAGCAAGTGCTGCTTTCTTCAAAACTGCCAACCATTTTCTAGGTAAATGTAAAGCTAATCCTGTAAACATTTTCTCTAGGCAATTGGCTCCCAGATGGCTGTAAGGTGTTCAGCTTTATGTGCCAGCCTCCCTTTACCCCCCTTCACCCAAAAATATTCCTGGTACTCATTTCTGTTAGAGGCTGAGACGACCCCAATGCTATAGTGCAGCTGGAAGGATTATGTCAGCTGAAAAAATCCACCTCATTGGGACTTGAGCCCGTGACCTTCCGGCTTGTAGCATAGTGCCTCAACCAACTATGCTACCGTGTGCCCCACTATTTTCTCGATCAAAGAAAAATATGATCAGCAGTTCTTTGCGATGGAACACCTGTCACAGGGGCAAATTCATCTTTCATGTGTTAATATCAGAAAGCTGCAATGTAGAACCAGCTGGCAAAGCAAGCACACGAGTTTCCGAAACTCCTTAACTTCTTCATGCATTACATATCAAGTACTTTCTTACACATGTATGCATACACAATGAATTATGGACAGAACACAGGGGGACTTGCAGGCATGCAACAAATTTTGCTGGTGAAGGACACCTCGTCATAAGGTGGTGGTTGTGATCATATGAAATGGAGCCAGAAGTTGTCACATGCCTCTGTATGAACAAAATCTATGCCAAAGATGCTCATTAATGGCTTCTAATGCACACTTCAGGTCCCATCAAAGTCTGTAAACTAGAACAAAGAGAGTAAATACTGAGCTACCCGTGTCAATCATATACTACAGGGAGATCGAAAAGTCACGCATATCAAACTAAAAGTTGTTCTAATTGTATTGCAGTTAATATAATTATATCTCCTACCACTAGATGGTACTGTAGAAGTACCAACGAGTAGAAACACCATCTGTCGTGTATCAGTCACATGACGTCTGCAGTATATAGATTTGATTATTGCGTGACAGCCATGTCGTTTTCCCAAGAACGAGTTTTCATTGTGGAACATTATATTGCCAGTTGTTCTTATGCATGTGTCGCAGACAAGTTTCATCGGGAATATCTGGATTCTGCAGTTCCTAACAATTCGACGATAACGAGAATAAACTGATTTCGGGAATGTGCATCACTTTCAGATAGAAAGAGATCCGGGAGACCGGCCATTTTGACTGAGGCTAAACTGCCTGACGTGGAGAAAATGTTGCAGCATTCCCCTTCAAAAAGACTGAGGAGACTATAAGCACAATCAGGGATTTCGTACGCAAGTGTTCAGAAAGTGATGAAGACGTTATGCCTTCATGCATATCATGTTTGCTGTGTGCAGGAACTAAAGGACCTGGATAAAGAAAAACGCTTAGTGTACTGTAGATGGTTTCAGACATTTGTTGGCAACCATGGAACTGAAGAGTGTGATCGGGTTTTCTTCACTGACGAAGTGTGGTTTCACCTTAGTGGCTATGTGAACAGCCAAAACAATAGGATTTGGTCATCTGAATATCCACGTGTTACATGAAAAACCTCTGAACTGTCAGAAAATTGGAGTGTGGTGTGCTGTATCATGTCATCAAATAGTGGGCACAATTTTCTTTGAAACAACAGTGAACAGTCCAGTGTACCAAGACATCATTACACAGTTTATTGCGCTTCCTGAAGTTGAATGAACGCGAGTGTTGGTTGCAGCAAGACGGTGCCACTTCACACACCTAATGAAACCATGCAGTTCTTGCGTGAGTTTTTTGGTGACCATCTCGTTTCGAAAGGATTGTGGCCCCCACATTCGCCCAATTTGTCACCTGCAGATTTTTTCCTTTGGGGGTACCTCAAAGGAATTGTCTATAAAAACAATCCACATACACTGGATGACCTCAAGAGGAACATTATGACAGTGATTAACAGCATCAGTTTACAGGTGCTCCACAAAGTGGTCTCAAACATGGTAAAAAGAGCTTGCGCATGCATTGCTGAACAGGGAAGCCATTTTGAGCATATGTTGTAGAGACCTGATTTGATTTTGCATTTGTAAGATGTAAGGTTATAATCATTAATAGTAAGTGCTGTATGTCTTGTAGTTTGTGTATTAAACCAGCAAAATATAATTGCTTGGCGTGTGTGTGCAACTTCTCTATCTCCCTGTATATACCTTGTGCCATACTATGATAAAACACGTAATTAGAGGTCTGAAGGACTGGTATTACATACTCTTGAACCATTCTAGGATATATTGAGCAACAGTTACAACATTGCAAGTCTGCATGCACTGCTAATTGCACAAGCCACTGGTACTAACATCAGGTCCCTGTACTCATCAAAGTATGCCTGCAGCTGTTCTGCTTGCTGCAGTTTGTTGCGGCGCTGTGCCGACTTCTCGAGGAGGTCTTCCCAGGCTTCCTGAGTATCCTCATGCTTCACCTCAATGTGCTCACGTGCATCTGGGAACAGTGATGCTAACCGCCCAGCTTCCTCAGTCACTGACTCCACCTATAAAGAAATAATAAAAAACCTGTCAGCATGTACTCATTCCATACTCTACCCATCCCCCAAATGCTCAACACTTCATACTTGTTCCTTCACAGCGGCAAGATCAGTCTCGAACACTTGGTGCTGCCGGATGAGTGCCTGTATGGTCTCCAGGTCCTGTCCATAACCCTGTGCTGACAGCAGAGCTTCCTTCTCCTGTATCCATCCGATAGTCTCATCTGCTCGCCGGTCAAAGACATGTACCTGTTTTGCTCCAGCAAGTGCCTGCAACATGGTGCAGTGTTTAGTGTTTCTGCATAAACCATTAAAACACAGGCTTTAAATTTTCCAACTCCATTCAATTTTCCTAGCTACTATACATCATACTTCAGGAACACCACTTCGGAAAATGTAATTTGCACCACCAGATTCAGTAATGTATTTCCCAATATCACACTTGGTAGCCACTCCCTCAACAGATGCATCGTCAAGCTTGAACTTCTGAAAACTGGACAGTGCAGCAGCAACACATGTGGTCCCATGGCCAATATAAAAAAGTATAAAAATCAAGGCCACTTGAGGGTACTTACATACACAATTCAGTATGAAGTGATAGCAACTGACAAACTAACTCAGTTTAGTAATACGGCTCCACAGGCCAGCTGAGCACAAACTCAGACACTTACCTCCTGCCGTGCATGTGCAAGCTCTCTCAAGTCCTCCCACAGTTGTTGTGTGTCATCCAACTTGACCTGGATTCGTTCATGTTCAAGGTTCCCCTCTGCAATGAGGGTGCGGCCCGTTGAGAGGCATGAAGTGATGCGTCCCTCACTAGCCGCCAGGCTTGACAGGAAGGAGTCGAATGCCTGGCTCAGCAGCTCCACGTGCTCCACATCCCGCCCATAGTCCTCCGATGCAGCCAGTGCCGTCTGGTCCCCCATCCATTCTGCCACCTCATCTGCTTCCCGTAAGAATCGGTAAAGCTTGAGTGACTCAGCCAGCCGAGCAGAACGCCGGGAGGCTAGCAACTGCAGCTCAGAGAATTGGGTCTCTATCTCAGCCTGAAATGTTATAAATGGTTAGGATTCCACTAGGTGCACTGTACTATCATCTCCATGAACAGCAGACCTCTATAATAAGCTACCTGCTTGGCAGTGATGTTGTGGCTGTCAAAGTGTCCACGGTCCACAAGCACCTGTGCCAGTTTGGCCAGCTTGCCAAAAGTGTGTTGGAACTGGCTCAGGTCACGCTCCACACCCTCCAGTTTCTTGGCCAGTGACTGTACTGAGTCCTCATCCTTTCCGAAGTCACTCAACGTCAGCAGAGGCCGCTTCTCTCGGATCCAGGCATCTGCCTCATTTGCTTCGGCATAGAACTGCAAACAGTATATAAAGTTAAAAGGTTACTACACTGAGGGACGACAGCCTCACCAGTTCAAAGTTATTTAGACAGCACTCACCATTTGCGACTCCAATGCATCCAGCAAACGCAGACGCCGCACGCTGGCAAGGTCACGTAGGTGACCCAACTTCTCTGTCAGATCACTGCTGCAGGCTTCAATGCGAGCTGCAGCAAAGTGCCCACTTCGAACCATCCTCTGGGCCCTCCCCACCAGAGCCTGCACCACTGGCTCCCGGGAAACAAGCTCAGCCTCCAGGGCCTATAGCAGCACACAAAGTGAAGTTCCACCTACACCTTTTTCCAGTGTTTGAAAACAGTTATTTGATTTTTATCATGTTTAATACTCGTACAATTAACAAAGTTACCAAACAAGTAATATTCATTCTAGACTTGCCCTGTGAACGTTATTTGGTGATCCAGATATTTTATTAATCAAATTTTTAATCATGATGCCGTAGATGGCATCAGTGCCTGTTGGAATGCTGTGGGTGGGTTTCTACATTAATGTGCCTTCAAATGAAACTTCTAAGAAACAATGGATGATCACCTGGCAACCGAGAATTGCATTCTATTTCAAGTGTGAAGAACATTCCTTCTCTAATAACTAACTCCATGGAACTGAGCTCTTCTTGACAATCTGCCAGTTGTGCAGCTACTCAAGAACTTCCCAACATTTTATGGAACCCAAAGGTTCACTATCATGTTCTCAAGAGCCCTCCACTGGTCCCCATACTGAGCCAGATCAATGCAGTGCACACCACTCCACCCAATCTCTCTAAGATCCACCTACCTATGTCGTGGTCTTTTTCAGAAATATCCTGCATGCATTCACTCTTCCTCCTCCAATCGTGCTACATGCCATGCCCACCTCATCCTCTTTCACTTGATCATTCTAATTATACTTGGAGAAGAGTATAAGTTATGAAGCTCCTCATCATGCAGTTTTCTCCAACCTCCTGTCACTTCATCTCTCTTCAGTCCAAATATTCTCCCTTTAACACCCTGAGTCTATGTTCCTCCCTTAGTGTCAGAGACCAAGCTTCACACCCATACAGCACCACCACAGGCAAAACAGAGTTTTATATATTCTAATTTTTATGTTTTTTGACTACAGATGAGAAGACAAAAGGTTCTTGACTGAATGGTAGCAAGCGTTATCCAAATTTAATTTCCCTTAATCTACTCCTGAATCAAATTCTGATTCATTACTGTTATTCCCCCTGTCTTTAACTGTTATCAAAATTAATTTTCAACACTTTTCCACCAAGCATACATTGACAATGGGATGGATAGGAAAAGCAGTGGCAGTATGCTCCCAAATGATGTCCCAGATGAATTTCGAACTGTTTGTAAGCATTCAACAGGAAACTTACAATTGGCTGAGGCTGCCAGTTTACATCTTCTTTCTCAAATCAAGGCCAAATCATTCGTCTTCTTATGCTCTCCCCCATGTTCCTTCCACTTCTACAGTAATCTATGCAACCTATGTTTTGCATTTCTCTCTCCCTCTGTGCATGTGCACGCAGCAATGAAATGTGAAAACAACTCGTCAATAGGTTAGCACAGCCTCACATCACATGGAGAAGCTGTCTGCTGCAATGTTCTAGTACTACAGTCCCCATCAGTGCACCTTCTTCCAAGTCATTCAACCTCAGGATGGCAAATGCAATGTACACTGAAACACTGGGATCACTTTGACATGACCATGACAGCAGACGTTACATATGACGATTACTTGCCTGATGTTTCTTCTGCAAGCTCTGCACAGCAGTGAGGCTGGTGCCTAGGTCTGTGGAAGCTGCTTGTGGCTGCTTCTCTGCCACCCACTGGAGCTCATCATCCACATCCCGCAGGAACTGGTGCAGCAGCAGTGCGTCCTCCAGATTATCCCTTCGAATCTGCATTGGCTGCTGCAGGGAGTGGTACCTGTGGGGCATGACATTGTATTGTGACTGGCTGGTCACAGACATTTTGTTCTGCTGAGCCTTGCCACTTCTACCTCCCAAAATCTTATCAATTCGTGACAGCAGGCACTGAGTCATACAATGATACCTATATCTAAGATGTGACTGCAGCCTATTTATGCTTCCTGTGTTACGTATGGTTCCTTGTCCCAAATCCAAATTTCCCAAGAATCTAGCTTGTTTTGGGCTCCCTTTGACATGAGTCTCATTGCTTTTTGCAAAGAATGCCACTGATGTTGCTACTACGTTCATTCCCCTTTTCCAGTTGGATAACAAAGTTTACTGGTGAAGTTGGTATACAGTAACTGTCGAGCCCAGCTGGATACATCTGTCTGGGGTCTGGTCCTTGCAGACATATGTAAACTTTCTGTCTGATCAAGCTACACCCCAAAATCTGGGGACAAAGACAGGAACCTCGTCTGACTGCAGGCCTCTGTTCACACCAAGCAGCAAAAGTCCGCAACAAACAAAATTAACCAAATGTGATTTAAGGAAACAATGCCTGATAACAGGTGACAGGAGACTGGGCCCCACCCACTCCTCTGTTTTACTGACAAGTGAGTATGTAACCACATCACACAGGAGCATGTTGGTCTTCAAACATAAACAGCAGCAGTGATTATGCTGAGGGCTCATTTCTGATGTTTGGAAATGCGTGCGGCAGATGGCAACACTGACCTTCTGATGACTGCAAGAGCCCGTTCCTGTATCTCATCACCCATGAAGTGATCTGAGCTCTGGAACGCTGCTGCTGTGTCCTTCACTTGTTCAACAGCCTCACTGTGACCACTAACATCTCCCTCCAGCAGTGAGTGTCTCTTCAGCAGGTGGATGACACTTGCCAGATCCTTCCCATGGTCCTCAGACTGCAGCTGTAGCTCCACCTCATCCATCCACACTTCCAGTTCGTCTAGCGTGCGGCTGAACAGCTGGGCCTGCATCAATACAACATCACTTCACAATATTCCATCAATCAGAGCATTCAGAATAAAACAGAAACTGTATTAACAACATACTGAGAGAAGTTAACTCTTTCACATACCCAAAGCCTGGCACACATTTGATAACAGTCTCAAGTTAGAAGTAATAAGTAATGCCAAAATGTGGGGCCCAAACCATACAGAATCAGCACCCGTCACTCTTCCGAAGCCTAATTCTATATCTCTGAAAGAACAGCTTGTACAATGTTACACTGAACAGAAGGAACTGGGAAGAATGTGTTTTAGGAACAAACAATCAAACAATATGTATTGTCTAGGAGGAAGAGACAGAAACACTGTTTAGAAAATTAACCCTGACACCAGGCAGAATGACGGATGACAGTGATTAGGTACAGCACTTCACAGTAAGCAGCTAGGGACCTGAGCCAACTCACAAACTTATGGACCAACCCATACTTCTACACTGCTGACACCACATGAGCCAAACATGAATTTGTTCACGTCTTCCTCCTTACCCTATCACAATCTGTCAAGTAGTCACTTCACAAACATAAACATTGCTGTAAGGTTGTACCTGGTATGCGTCGCTGAGGCGGTCGCGTTTCAGCTGACTTGAATCCTGAAGTTCGCGCCAGGCAGCCTCCAATTCATCCAGCCGTGCCTGTATCTCCATACCTGCAAAATGGCCAGCACTAATGAGGGCCTCCCCCTCTTCTGTCACAGCACCCACGCGCCCTCTGTTGGCAGACAGTTCCAGCTCAAATGCAACATGCTTCTGAATCTTGCTCTGCAGGTTGGAGGAGTCACGGTAGCTCTCGTCACTTGCGACCTGCTGCTTCTGGTGAAGCCATGCCTCCACCTGGTGGCACAGTTCACGCGGTCAGTGTTGCATACTGCACATACATTTGCGTGCACACATACACACAGGCCCCTATGAACTACATACCTCATACATGTTCCGTAAGAACTGCTGCAATTGACGTGATTCCTGCAGACGCTTGCGTCGTGCCATGGCAGTCTCCTTCAGTCTATCCCTGCGGGCACAGACAGCCTGCAGACGTTGTGTGATTCCTGCAGTATCATAATGGTGATCTGCAAGCAGCTCAACTGCAAATCGCTCAAGCTCTTCCACGCGCCCTGCTTGCGCTGCCAGGGTCTTCTCAAATGCCTCGTGTTTACGTAACAAGGCCTCCACACTCGACAGTGAGTCCTGGAATGATAGGGTATACCTTGAGACTCTGGAAGCTTTATCTCTCCCACTCCTAGAATCCTACTGGACTGCAGCCTGAGTGGATACCAAAGCCATTCTGGGACTGATACACATAAATCTGCACATACCAGAGACCAGGACTTCAGAGCCTGCCTCCTTCATTCAGCTGCACTACACAATCAGCTGCCCTTCCCCCCACCTTACCACCTCCACATGCTGCAGAACCTGTCACCAGAAAAGAGATTGGAACTGAATGTTCCTTGCTGTACACATCGCTCGGACGCATTAGGTACAGAAATACTTTTACATGTCTTAAAGTAAATGCCATCAAACTGTGTCACAAGAGCTGAGCATTACAGGGGTGCTACAGATCTTGAGCCTCTGCAAAAGTGCAAAATAATTCTTCCTGATATGTAAACTTCTGAATCCAATTACAGGTTGGATGCTTACAACAAGGTGGGAACTGAGCACAGCATAAGATGAACACATCTGCATTCTCCACAGGAATGTCTGGATCTGGGCAACGAAATTCCAGACCACCAAGACACACACTGAACATTCCCTCAGTTGATTGTCTTTTCGTTTAGAGGAATCATGTATACTGGGTCTCCCATCTTTCTGTGAACCTCATGTACATAAAACTAATCCAAGAAACATCGTATTCACAAAATAAAGAATTCCTACTGATACTAATGAACTCCATACATGTACTGCTAATTTATGCCAAGAATACTTCAGAAATTTTAACCAAGATGATGATAAACTTTAATCAGAACTAAAAGCTATAGCATCTGTGAGGCACCGACAGTGGTCCACTAGCAACAAAACATGTATGTCAGTAACATGCCAACAATACAATGAAAACAGCTGGGAATTGTTACTAATTATACTCTGAAGCTATACCGTATAAAGGGATGCAATATTCATAACCACCAGTTACGGACAACCAAAACACACAGTACAACCAACATTTAGGTGTCAAGCATTTAAACTCTATCTGGGACCAATATCATGTGGCAATCTTACACAATGTTTCACAATACAGGACAAGGTGTCTCACCCCAAGGTCGTCATTGTTCAGGAAAGCCTCTTTCGCAGCAAGCCACGCATCAGCGTGGTCAGCCTGCTCTCTGAACAGCTGCAGCTGGTGTGCCTGTGTCAGTTTGTGTCGCCGCTCTTCCCACGCTGCCCCCAGTGTTCGTCTCAACTCTTCTAGGCATGCCAGACTTGGTGCCAGGTCTTCCTCAGTGCCTCCAGATGGCAGACGCATCCCAAAGTACTTGAGAGATTTGAACGCCTCCTGTCGGCCGTCAATCTCAGCCTGGCCAAAATGTATTTATGTGGCATGAATGTTACAGCAGAACTTACACTCCTGCAGTACAATACAACGGTGAATGGAGGAATCTTAATGTAACCACATGTATGAGGACAACACATATACAGTGAAGTTCCAGCCAAAGGGTTCACAATAATCTGTACATAGTGTCCTTTCTTCCAACTGTAAGTTGGAAACTGAAAAACAAAAATTTTTTTTTTCAGAAACTAACCGAAAGTGATGAAAATTAGTGTGCCTCAGGTTTTATGTTCACCATATTCTGTTATACAGGGAGATCGAAAAGTCGCGCACAACAAAGTAAAAGTTGTTATAAATTGTATTGCATTTAATATGACTATATCTCCTACTGCTAGATGGTACTGTAGGAGTAGTAACGAGGAGAAATGCTATCTGTTGTGTATCAGTCATATGACGTCTGCAGTATAGCTTTGTTTATGGTGTGACAGACATGTCATTTTCCCAAGAACAAGTTTCCATTGTGGAACATTATTTTGCCAGTTGTTCTTATGCACGTGTCGCAGACAAGTTTCATCGGGAATATCTGGATTCTGCAGTTCCTAACAATTCGACGATAACGAGAATAAACCGATCTCAGGAATGTGCATCACTTTCAGATAGGAAGAGATCCGGGAGACCGGCCATTTTGACTGAGGCTAAGCTGGCTGATGTGGAGAAAATGTTGCAGCATTCCCCTTCAAAAAGACTGAGGAGACTATAAGCACAATCAGGGATTTCGTACGCAAGTGCTCAGAAAGTGATGAAGACGTTATGCCTTCATGCATATCATGTTTGCTGTGTGCAGGAACTAAAGGACCTGGATAAAGAAAAACGCTTAGTGTACTGTAGATGGTTTCGGACATTTGTTGGCAACCACGGAACTGAAGAGTTTGATCGGGTTTTCTTCACTGACGAAGTGTGGTTTCACCTTAGTGGCTATGTGAACAGCCAAAACAATAGGATTTGGTCATCTGAATATCCACGTGTTACATGAAAAACCTCTGAACTGTCAGAAAATTGGAGTGTGGTGTGCTGTATCATGTCATCAAATAGTGGGCACAATTTTCTTTGAAACAACAGTGAACAGTCCAGTGTACCAAGACATCATTACACAGTTTATTGCGCTTCCTGAAGTTGAATGAACGCGAGTGTTGGTTGCAGCAAGACGGTGCCACTTCACACACCTAACGAAACCATGCAGTTCTTGCGTGAGTTTTTTGGTGGCCATCTCGTTTCGAAAGGATTGTGGCCCCCATTTTCGCCCAATTTGTCACCCACAGATTTTCTCCTTTGGGGGTACCTCAAAGGAATTGTCTATAAAAACAATCCGCATGCACTGGATGACCTCAAGAGGAACATTATGACAGTGATTAACAGCATCAGTTTACAGGTGCTCCACAAAGTGGCCTCAAACATAGTAAAAAGAGCTTGCGCATGCATTGCTGAAGAGGGAAGCCATTTTGAGCATATGTTGTAAAGACATTATTTGATTTTGCACTTCTAAGATGTAAGGTTATAAACATTAATAGTAAGTGCTGTATGACTTGTAGTTTGTGCATTAAACCCAACAAAACATAACTGCAACCTCTTTATTATATCCGTCACAACACAACTAATATCAAGATCAAACCGTTTTCGGCCCTGCTACACGTTTCGGCTATTGATAGCCATAATCAGGCAAACACATGATTTACACACATATACGCACCACTGAACCACAGCACCAACAAAATTGGATACAATATTATTAGAATATATAAAAACACTTGACGTATAAAATACAATAAATCAAGTTATATAAAAAAGAAGTATGATATAAAATAAGAATAAAATTCTTTTGGTGTTTTTACATCAACGTGTCAGTTGTTGGTTTGTGATCTGTTTTCTGTTTCGTTCCCACGAACAAGTTGGAATATTCATACTTATGCATGTATAAAATTGTGTATGAGGCTCGTAACGTAGATGTAGTAAAGTAAATTATAATATTAGTCAGTGCCTCATCTCACAAAGTATTGTCCGTACTGTAGGGAATGTAAACAACAACTGATTTGGTGATGTGAGATTAAGGTAAATGCAAGGGAGGGAAGGAGGGGGTAGAGATAAGGTGTATACGGAACTGGTGGTAGGGGGGAGGGGGTATAACTGTATATTATGTTTTGTATGTATCAATTATTACATCATATATAGGGTTAAACATTTCAGTAAAATTATCATTTAGTTGTAAATTCAGTTTGCTGATTTCATAGATGTGAAATCTTTCATATGTATCCAAGGTTTGGCCTTTCTTGCCGACATATAGAACTTCTAATGTTTTGTCTATTGTACCATATTCATGTGTGGTTTCTAATATATTGTCACCAAATGTAACGTGTTTAGTTACTGAATACGCCGTAGAGATTGTTAACTGGTTTATTCAACAACCTACAAGTAACGGCTACAATTAATTATAACAATATTGCGGGGTTCCACAATTTATAACCCTATTCGCAAACCAAATCACGCTATTGTCAGTAGACTACACGAAGAAAGCAGTCTTCTGGGATTTGGCGCCGTGTATATGTGGTGTTAACCGACGTTTCGGAGGAACGTATCGCCCCCATCTTCAGGGTTGAAGAAAAAGTATAGGTAAATCTGCAAGCGACAACACCGTGAGACACGGTAAAGCAGACGTCTGCTTTACCGTGTCTCATTTGCGGTGCTTTTACCGGGACTGGAGATGCGGTTCCACGGAGATGATGCCGACTGGACGATTGAAGAAACCTTCAGTAAGTCAAATGTGTGAGTGGATTGTGGCTGCATGGAACACCATACCAGAAGAAATGGTTTCCAAAAGTTTTAAAGTCACATCCATTTCCAACGCAATGGATGGGACTGAAGATGACGCTGTATGGCTGACATCACCTGACTGCGAAACTTCGAGCGAGAGCGACATCTACAGTAACGAGTCAAGTGATGAACAGTAATATGGTTTAATTACTGTGGACCAACTTCAGAAAGCGTCGCATAATTTATTCATGCGATGCGAAGCATATTTGCAAGCAGAAGGGGGTCACTTTCAGCACCTGTTATAAAGCACGGTAAGTTTGTGTTATCTTTTTACAGTATTCTTATAAATGTGTGCATGTACAGAAACTGATGTAAGGGTATCAGCAACACGACTGCACTCTCGCTTGGGGGGAGGGGCACAGTAGTCACGGAGAAACGTTCCATCCGCTCTACGCTGCTGCCCCGGTTTCCTCGATCTTTGAACACCCTGCATTACTAATTATGAATATAATTTTTTTTTAAATGAAGTGTGATTTTGAATATTTGGAATATAAGCCGCACCCCAGTTTTCCTCTTGAATTTTTGGCAAAAAATGTGCGGCCTATACATGCGTAAATATAGTATATTTTAATGGACAGTCAGCACATTGTAGTTGGTAAATCCCACTAAGATTAAATCATTTTTGTCATCATTTATTTTCAGAAGATGTTTAATATTGCTTTTTGTCTTATATGAGATACCAACTTCAGTATTCTTGAAAAGTTTAGTAATAGATCTGATTTCACGGCCGAAATAGGTGAAGGCGGTCCATTTATTTTTCTGCGTAGTATTTTTTTGTGGATGGTTTTTGTGTTAGGTGAATGGTATTTTGTGGTTAGTTATTATTATTTAGAATAGTTCTAATGATGTTTTCTTCTTTGTTTTTGTTGTTATGTGAAAGGGGCTATTGATTCAATCGATTAATGAGAAAGTTTATAGCAGCTCTTTTGTGTTCAAATGGGTGACATGAATCAATGTGGATGATTAGATCATTTTGTAGGTTTTCATGTGTTTTTTTCGATGGATAAATCTAAGAAACTGATCTTATTATTTATTTTTCTTATTGTAAATTTGATATTAGGGTGAATATTACTGAATTCATACAACGTATTTTCAATGTTAGTTATATGGGAATTATAAATGATTAAAATATCTATTAAAATAATCTATTATTTGGGGTTTCATCAAAATATCAATGATAGTTGTAGGACACGATGTAAGAACACCAAAAGAATTGTATTCTTATTTTATATCATACTTCTGTTTTATATAACTTGATTTAGTGTATTTTTTATGTCAAGTGTTTTTATATATTTTAATAATACTGTATCCAATCTGGTACTGCGGTTCAGTGGTGTGTATATGTGTGTAAATCAAGTGTTTGCCTGATGATGGCTATCAATAGCCAAAACATGCAGCAGGGTCGAAAATTGTCTGATCTTGATATTAGTTGTGTTGTGATGGATATAATAAAGAGGTTGTATATTGTAACACAACAGGATGCATGAAATGAAAAAAAAAAAACATAATTGCTAAGTGTGATGTGTACGACTTCTCGATCTCCCTGTAGTAAGTGCTGGTAACACTGGGAGGGAAGACATATGCATCCCGAGCCAAAAACAATTGTGGACCATCTCCTCTCTCTGGGATCACAGTTCTGCACGTTAGTACGTTCAGTATTATAGTGTCTGAAGACTTTGGCAACAGGCGACCATAAGGGAGATGCCCCACAGCAATTCAATTTTCAAAGCTTCAAAGCTTAGCAATGTCTGCACTTCTCTGCAATAGCTCTGAGACAAAGCACTCTTATTATTAAATTTACCTTGCGTTCTTGATGCAACTCCAGCATGGCCTCTGCCTCTGCGCTGGTAGCAGGAAGCTCTGACGAACCCATACGTTTGATAGTCTCTGCCACCCAGACGTCCAGCTCATGTAGGTCTGCATGAAACTTGTGCAGCGTGTATGCTGCTGCAAGGGCATCACTGCGCCTCCGAACCAGCTGCTGCAATGAGCGCCAGCTGTCCTGCAGCTCCAGCAGCTTGCTGCGGATTGGTGCCGACAGGTCTGGGTACTTCTGGGAGAGATGCCGTGCCTCCCCATCATGTTCCTTTCACACAGAAATTAATTTTTTTTTCAGATGGGCATAGATTTTAAGTCAAGAGTATAAAAATCACTGATATATAGAGAATTGGGAAAGAGAAATATTTTTATTAATTATAGTAAATCTATTTACTTGCAAATCTGCCTTATACAATGACTAAAATAACAAAAAATAAAGTACTCATGGCCATCGTATTTACCTCGTTTTTATCACTACCTTCCAGTTTGTAAGAAGTGACTTTTGGAAAACAGAAGTCCACAATGAATTTAAGGGCCAATCCTATTTAACTGGATTGTCTGCTACTTCAGAATGCTCTGTTAAGCACTAAGGTTTTAGGAATGTAATGTGTGTGAATCTTCCTAAGCCCTCAGGCACACACTGGTCTCCCACTGCCCAAGAATTTCAATTGCCAAGTTAACACTTCTGTGCACTTCAACGGTAAAGTTCTAAAAACGTCCTTTCAGTACAAATACACTTAGTTTCTTGGAATCGACAAATGTAACTTCTACCATTCTGGCTTCCAGTGTTTAGGATACACTGTGAGTAAACTCTGACAACCAGAGCTACCACCCATCAAACTTCACATTGGTCGATTCTCCCTCTCCTCCCCTTCCCGCCCCTCTCACTATTGCAGAAGACCTGACAGTAAGCTGCACGTTGCCACTCGCCCTTCATGAGCAGCTGCTGCTAGCACCACTGCATGCAGTACACTGCCACCCTCACATTTTCACTACAGTATACTTGTAAAGTCACGTTTACCACTGTACAGTGGATACAGATGTATGAATATTGTCAATATGCATGCAATTCAAAATATTCTGCTGAGATCTTCCAGCATGAGCTAATATTGACGAGGTTTCACTATCACTTACAAAATGCTGTAATTCACAGCATCTGAATGTATTTCAGTTACAACTACAAACCTCAGCTTCGTTCATGGAACAGCCCTCTATTTATTACATATCGTACTAAACTGCCAAAATACAATTCTCCAGTAACAGTCACTTCCTCATTCATTTAGTCTTTGCATCTTCTCAGGTTACTCACAATTTTAACACTGTTACCATAACCACCAGTCTCAACCTCACTCCTGTCATATTACACGTTTCTTCACTGGATTTATCTAACTCCCAAATACAGGATGTTTCACGACCTTAAGGCATTACTGCAGGAGGCGATTTCCTAGGTCTTTGTGATCAAAAAAGTTCATATAAACATGTGTCCGATTTTGGACAGTTACGGAGTTATGACCGTTTTTTCATTCCCGTACACACCCTCATGTGAACCGCGTCTATCATCTGGCGGGTCCCTATTTTTAGCCAGCTACAGACAGAGTGTTCTCGTTTTCTCGACATTTGAGAGGTACCTAAGGTGTGGTGGGTTGGTATGTCCAGCCACTGGTATTCAGAACAGTTCTCATCCCGGTGCGTCTGTTACGTTCACGATGCCATTTACATTTTCATTCGAGGAGTATGCAGATATGATTTATGTGTATGGGTTTTGTGATGGTAACTCAGTTCTTGCCATAGCTGAATATCAGCAACGGTTTCCGAATCGTAGAATACTGAACCGGAAAGTGTTTACTGGAGTTTACCAGGCATTGCGAGATACCAGTAGAATTCCCGGCGTTCGTACTGCAGCCGAGCGTGGTGTTAATGAAGGCATCAATGAAGAAGGCATTGTTCATATGGTACACCGCAGTCCACGTACGAGTACACGAAAAATTGCCAGTCAGGTCTCCAGACTTAAGCCCACTGGATTATTGTGTGTGGGGATGGATGGAAGAACTGGTCTACAATGTGAAGGTGGTAACGTGAGATGCTTTGCTCGGTTGCATTCTGGACACCGATGACCACATAAGAAACAGCCAGCTGAAGCTGCCATGTGCTACCCATGCAGTTCACAACCGAGCGGCAACCTATGTTGCGGCCGGCAGTGGCATTTTCGAAAATCAGCTTTAAGCACCAATCAATTCAAATTAAAGGTAATATCACAAAGTTAACTTTACATTCATACTTCAAATGTATCATGTATTATGCTGGTTTATTATTTTGTTCCGTTTATTGTCAGTAATCGTTATCTTCTATTCTGAGTTTAAAACGGTCATAACTCTGTAACCGTCCAAAATAGGGACACATGTTTATATGAACTTTTTTGATCACAAAGACCTAGGAAATCACCTCCTGCAGTTATGCCCTAGAGTTGTGAAACACCCTGTATATTGTCATCATGTAGACTATGCTAGTTGCTATATCTGTCATTCTGACTCTACTATCAGCTGATCTGGGTGAACTGGAATGAGCTTCACAGCCACACATTGGATTGAATGCTGGAAGATACAGAGTGAATGTGAGCAGCAGTGATGTGCAGTGCCAACGACTTCTTGGTGCTATCAGTACATATTGCAGCTGTACCTTCAGCTTGCCCTCGATGGCTGTCATATCTCGCTCCAGGGCCTCCTGCTTGCGCTGTAGTTGCTCCACAGCTGCGAGGTCACGCCCCACATCGTCTGTGTTCATGGCCACTGCCTTCTCTGCCACACGCTGACTGGTATCATCAACATCCCTGTTGAAGGCATGTACCTCCAGAGCCCCTGCGAGGTGGTTACGGTACAGGTCCAGTGCACCTTGAAGTTCATGCCACCTGAATCACAGACATGAAAGTGTACAGGAGGGTGAGAGCTCGCGTGGTCAGCTGGCTATGTGCATGGCAACAAGCAAAGCAACTGGCTGCAACATGGTACCCGAGACATACAAACACCCACCCTAGCCCTCACAGAAATACTTTTCTTTGTGAACTACAACTACATACCCTACCATTTCTCTTTGACATTTTGTACTTTTAACAAGTGAAGGAAGTGTACACAATTCAAAATTAATACAAAATGAAAAAATTGGAAATACAAAAGAAACATACTGCGGAAGACAAATTAAGAAATCACAAAGATGGTATGGACAATATTTAATGAATGTGAAAGGAAGATGCCACCACGAAGAACAAAATCAAGAAGAGAACAGGTTAGGAAAGATGTCACACATAAGGAAGGAAGAACAAGGAAGTAAGAAACTCTGATTCACACAGAAAGTGGAAATGTGAAAAGGTAAAGTTGTCTCTGCGCCTAACTAATTAAGCACTATGCCATGAAGGCATATGGGGGAGTGGATGTATAGAGCCACATTTTCTTCACCTCGGCACTTGCTGGAGGTGAGTGGTCAGCTTCACCCCCCGGCTGCCCCCCCCCCCCCGGGAAAGAGCTCACAGTACCCATGGGATAGGATGATGTGGAGAAAATTCTTGACCGTACCGGGACTCAAACCCTGACCCCTTGGTCATCCAGCCCCATAGCAAATCGCTATACCACCTATGCTTTTTCAAAAGGAAAAAGAAATTAAAAAAACTCACATTTCTAATGGACAACTAAATTAACAGCACCAACAAAAGTATGCAACTAAACTCTGCCCACAGTAAAATTAGAAATAACATACGAATGCTGATACTGCACGCACATATATGCAAACACAAAGAACTATGGACTGTGGAACAATTTACACAAAAGCCCACCTACAGCATAAGAATGTTATATGTCCTTAAACATTAATGTTACTTACTTAACAATTAGGTTGTCACGGCGCTGCTGCACAGAGCGTGTGTCAGAGCGACCTTGACGGATCAGTTTGTCAGCCAAAGTCCTGATGGACTTCACACGTGAATCATCCACCCGCATATCCGAGTCTACATCGTCCAGTTTCCGCTGCAAGGCGAGACAGTGTTCATAGTCACGTCCTGTGTCTCCAGCCTGCACCATCATTTCCTGCAGGGTAACAGACCACAGACTACATGATGAGCTGCAAGCTTCAGAAAAACAATCATACATATAAAATCTGAAACATAAAACATAAAAAAAAAAGAATTTAAACAGTTCTGCCTTCTAAACCAATAGCAGTTGCTCACTCATCAGAACTCACTCGATCACTAATGACGCTGAGCCCTTCTTGAGAAGCCACCAGTTGTGCAGCCACTCAAGAAGTTCCAACCATTTTACAGAACCCAATGGTCCATTACTGCATTCGCAAGAGGCCTCCACTGGTACCTATCCTGAGCCAGATTAATCCAATTCATACCATCCCATCCTATCGCTAACATCCATTCTAATATTGTCCACCCACCTATGCCTTGGTCTTCCCCGTGGTCTCTTTCCCTCTGGCTTTCCCACCAATATCCTATACACATTCCTCGTCTCTCCCATTCGAGCTACATGACCTGCCCACCTTATCCTCCCTAACTTGATCAATTTAATTATACTTGGAGAAGAGTACAGGTTATGAAGCTCCTCACTATGCAGTTTTCTCCAACCTCGTGTCACTTCATCTCTCTTCAGTCCAAATATTCTCCTCAACACCCTGTTTTCAAACACCCTCAGTCTATGTTCCTCCCTTAATGTCACAGACCAAGTTTCACACCCATAAAGAACCACAAGCAAAATTAGAGTTTTGTATATTCTAATTTTTCTGTTTTTGGACAACAAAGAGAAGACAAAAGGTTCTGGACTGAATGGTAGCAAGCATTACCCGAGTTCAATTGCCTCTTAATTTCCTCTTGAATCAGGTTTTGATCTGTTATCGTTGTTCACAAATATGTGAACTGTGCCACATTTTCAAAACATCTGTTCCCTTGAAGAAAGCAGTCTTCTGGGATTTGGCACCGTGTATATGTGGTGTTAACCGACGTTTCGGAGGAACATATCGCCTCCATCTTCAGGGTAGAAGAAAAATATAAGAAATCTGCAAGCGAAGAGACCGTGAGAACCGGTAAAAGCAGACTGTCTCTTCGCTTGCAGATTTCTTATATTTTTCTTCTACCCTGAAGATGGAGGCGATATGTTCCTCCGAAACGTCGGTTAACACCACATATACACGGTGCCAAATCCCAGAAGACTGCTTTCTTCATAGTCACTGCCGTGAAAGCCTCAAATCTTACATCTGTTCCCTTTCTTTATGTCATGATTTTACCCTGCATTTTGGTGATGAGACAGTAACTTATACTCAGTTTTCTCTTTGTTTACTTCTAGACCAACCTCTTTACTTGCGTCAATTAAAGTCTGTGTGTTTTTCTTTATGGTGTCTACATTATCACCCAGTAGATTCACATCATTGGCATAGACCAACAGCTGATGTGTCCCGTTTAATTTCAGTCCCACCTGGTTTCCCCGGACCTTCCTAATTGCATATTCTAAAGCAAAGTTGTGGCAAAAGAGCATCTCCTTGTCTTAGACCATTCTGGATAGGAAATTTATCAGACAAATGTTTACCTATACAGACTTTACTATACGTTTCGTTTAAACACATTTTAATCAGCCTAACTAGTTTCATGGGTATCCCAAAGTCTATTAGAATATTGTACAATACTTCCCTCCTAACTGAATCATAGGCTTTCTTGAAGTCTATGAATAGCTGATGTACTGTCTCATCGTACTCCCATTTTATCTCCAATATCTGATGAATGCAAAAGATCTGATCTGTAGCACTGATCAGAACACATCAGACAATATCAGCCAAACACACACCTTGTCCCTGATCCATGCCTCCACCTTCTCTGCTTGATTGTTGAACTCAAGGATATCCTGAGCTTCCTCCAAGCCACGCCCACGATTGGCTGACTCCTGCAGCAGCTGGCGCCACACAGTGAGCAGTTGCTCCAACTGTGCTCGTACCTCCCTTGATGCCTTGTGCTTCTTCGCAAGCAGCATGTCACCTGCAAGAGCCACCTTTACTTCCTTTCCTTCAGTAACCTGCTTCACATCCAACACAATGCCTCTTCACTTCCTTTATTTACATATTAAACACAGTTTAACTACATCACAAAAGCTCTGAACACAAAGACAAACGATTCTGCAGCATCTCAAGATAATCCACCACCTGACCTCGACTTCTTACTGCATGTAGGAGTTTAGTCACTCAGGGGAAATAATTTCTTTCCTATAATCATCACTCACCATCCTTTCCTTTCCTGTCATCATCTTGAACTTTCAGGTGGTCACTTATCAACAGAAACCTTGCACGTGTTTCTCACCACTACATGCCCCACAATTTCAGGTGTCCCTACTCACCCTTATCTTTGATGTGCTGTATGCGCCCCTCATGGGCAGCGAGCTCTGCCTGGAATGCCTGGTGTTTCTGCAGCTTCTTCATCTTGTCCTCCATGCTGCTCACTTCACCTTTGCTCATCTCAGACTCCAGCTTCTTTTGTTTCTCACCAATCCAAGATTCAGCCTGCAACATACATTCAATGTGACTCCCACATCCGCCATGCTTGTGCTCCTGTACAATCACCGTGTCTATACTTTTGTACACTTGTACTCTTGCGACAGGTAACAAAATTTCACAGTAGCGATATGAACAGCAAAAGGGATAAAAAATCTATTCCCAAATAATATGAGACAGGCTTCACGTGCAGTCTGTGTCTGCTGCTTGTTTACTCACCTCAGCAACATCCCTTACAAATTGTGCGTGGTGCAGAGAATCCTCAAGTCTCTGCCTGCGAGTGGCACACAGGTCGCGCACCTTCGCGCGTCGCTGCACAACCTCTCCCAAGCGGCGTGCTATTGCATTGCTCTCAAAGTGATTCTGTGCCAGCAACTTATCTCCATGCTCCTGCAGAGCCAACACCTTCTCCTCCTGCGTGGCGAGGAGCTTCTCGAAAGCCTCGTGCTTCTTGACAGCCACATCCACCTCCTCAACGGACACACTGATGTCAGTGCCTGCCAGTGCCACTTCCTGGCAGCTGCTGAGGGTGTCTATCTGTTTGGCATCCCGCAGAAAGAAGTGCAGATCGATCAGCTGATCCAAGTGAACCTTCTTGTGCTGCCACGCAGTGTGCAGGCGCTGGCGCTCCTCCAGCAGCTGACTGAAGCGCTCCTGGATCTCCTGCAACACATAACAAATTGTATGCAGCAGATTAGATAACCACAGTACACTACACGAGCAGTATCCTCTTGTCATAGGGCCCTAAGTCATCACTCCTGCAGAATCTCTCCAGTTTACCTCCTGGTTTTCTATAGTCATCATACTACTGCTTATTTCTTCAGGCAAACAGTTTTCACTAAAAATTCTGCAAGTATTTCATGGTTCAGCAACACAGGATACATGTAACAATGAACTTCACTTAATCCTTGCAACAATAACACAAGTGCGAAGCTTACGAGTCAGTCCATTTCCCTTGTGGAACAAACCAAGTTTTACACCCTGCACAGTATGAACTGCTAACTACATCTGCAGAGTTGCACCTACCATGGAAGCGTAGTGGTGTTCCTGCACCATCAGCTTGCCTAGCTCCACCACAGCCTGGAAGTTCTCTTCCCGAGCCTCGATTTCAGCCTTCACAGCCTCGTGCTCAGCTTTCAGAGTCTGTGCACTGGCTGCGTCTCTCACTTTCACCTCTGTCATCATGGTGGCACGGAGACCAGCTGCCCAGTTCATGAGGTCCCGCACCTGCACAAAAATCACGACAAAAGCTGTACTGACAGGAAATTAATTTCACCACAATGGCTGACATGCACTGGAGGGGGGTGCGAGAAACTGTGTAATAAGTTCGTGTGCGTTACTCAAGCATCAAAGATGTCTCTTCCATTGTGTCTCAACTGTAAACCATTTCATTCTTGCAAACTACAAGAACACTCATAACCTGCATACATTATGCAACCTATGTCTGTAGCATTAGTCGGTCGAGATGTTAGTGTTGAATTACCTGTGTGAGGAATCTCTGCAGCTCACAGCTGGCATGCAACTCCTCCCTGCGATTCGCAGACCGCTCCTGAAGCAAACTCCAACTGGATACAACGATGCTCTGCTGTTGTGCAATGTGGGTCGCATTCTGACCTGGGTAAAGAGCCTCCAGCCGCGCTGCATCCTCCACTAGTACCTGTCACACAATGATAACAATGACTTCAACTCCAGAACTAACCACTTCACAAAACACTGCATAAAGCATGAGTAATCCTACCTGCAGCTGTGCTTCGAGGGCCACCAAGTCGTTTTCAAAGCCCTCATGTCGGCGAATCAAAGCCAGCACAGAATTGAGGTCACGCCCAAGATCATCAGGCAGGGCTGCATCCTTTTCCTGGATGCGAGACAGCGCCTCTGCCACGTCACGGTGGAAGCGATGGATCTCCCCTGCAGCTTGCAGTCTTTGTTCGCGATTTTCCATGAGCCCAAGCAGCTGCTGCCAGCACTCCCTGCACACCACACATATCAGACATATGTCCAGCTCACCCATGTCACATCAATTAACTCGTGCAAACTGTGCAGGCCTTACCATATCTGTTGGTGTCGCTGGGCCACCTGCTGCACTGGGTTGTCTTCCAGACCGTCTGTTTCCGAGTTACTGTTACAAGACCACAGGCAAACCAACAATGCTAGTTAGTACTACACCCAGCCACCAGTGCTGCCAACCCACCAAGAAACTTAACATGTATAGTGTAAACACAGGTACATGCACTGGAGATTACACATAAAAGGAGCGTGTCTCAATCCAAGAGAATGATAAATATGCACCACTGTTGCTTAGTAACATACTGAGACTTGTGAGAACAGGCACACAGAACTGTCCACACCATCCCCAAGAAACCAACCTAAAATCTACCTACCAATGTACTGATGAAGCAAACCAACTTATTTACTGTCCCTGGATTCTGCTGTTTTGTTTGCAGCAGCCACACTCGTATCTCTATAAAATGAATACTAATACTTAAAAGGACTCGACCTCGCTGCAATGTAAGCATCATATATCATATTCACATTAGTTATCTGCAAAGTGTGCTCAATAAGGCAAAGGGAATTTTAGTCTCAATCCAGCTGCTACATTCACTGCCAAACCTACAGTGCATATATTCAAACATTCAATTATTTAAGGAGTCAAATATATTTGTATTTTGTTCATTACAATTTGTCAGTAACTTTTTCTTTTTGCAGTTTTGAAAAGTAATCCTTCAATAAGATTTGACACTGCGCTGTACCTGCTAACTGCCATTTGGTACTGAGCAAAATGACCATTATTTTCTAGTTCCAACACTGATTAACTGCTGGAAGCACCTGAAATTATAAATGTTAATGTATATTTGGAAAATACAACTTCTGTTACACTTGATTCTACGGCATAAACTTAATTACAGTGATGACTGACGTATTAACATGAGCTGCTCACCTCAGCTGCTCCTGGCGGCGCTCGATATCTGCAGAATAGGGGCTCTCATTGGCTATCAACTTCTTGGCGAGCTCTTCACACTGCCCAAACCTCTCAGAGCCAGCTTCAATCCGGTGTTTGAAGTCATCAAACTTGTTCTGGAGTACCTGCACCATACAATGAAACAGAACTGGCTACATGGTCCAGAACTGTACCACTCAAAATGACACTCAACAACTTGAGCCCCCTTCCCACACTGCTAATTACAGTCCTATCCACTCTCCAAAACCCTTTCCGTTTACTTTCATCATTATCAGTAACACGAAGGGGGCGGAGACAACACAACAAGTGTAATATGAGTTATAAAAGAATTCTGTGTTTCTGATATGCTATAAAAACAGAAGTGAACCAAGCCCTCTCATTACAAAACCCACTTCCTTAATATCTGTACTCTTATCTTTCTTTGATGTGGCCATCTTCTAAGAGGCATCCCACCAAAATTCTGTACAAACTGCTTGCCCAAGCAACCAACATCCTCAGACCATCACAACCTCCAAATATTTTATCAGAACTGTTACAATGCTTGCAATTCATAATCCTGGACACATGATCCTGAAAGTAAGATTGTGTGAATCTTCTCCTGAACAGGTGTTGGCCCACACACTCACCAAGAGGTGCTCATAGTCCTGCCCGTAGTCCTCTGAGGCTGCAGACTGCACCTGCTCTCGTATCCATTGCTCCAGCTCTGTGGACTCCAGAAAGTACTCATGACGGTACATGGATTCCATGAGTCGCTGCTGGCGTGCAGTTGCGAGGCGCTGCAACGTGCGCATCTGCTGCTGTATGAGCTGCTGCTTGGCGGCGACAGCACGAGCATCGGGATGCTTTGAAGACACCATGGCCCCAGCAGTGTGGCCCATCTCACTGACAATACCACTGTAGGTATCCAGCTCCAGTTCCAGGGCCTGGAGTCACACTGTGCTGCTCAGTTACGTGTGACAACTTTCAACATGGGTAGCAGAGTTCATCTTCATTTGTTGGCACATTACCAAGCCACACAACTTTGCCACTATAAAATACTAGACATAACATCACAAGTTTTATCTGTTTGCAACAATGGCCTGATGTAATTAAAAATCAAGTTTTGGTACATATCTTTGATATCAGTTGGCTGATGCTGACTTATCAAACCTGCTTCAAATGCAGAAGTTGAGCTGGAATATAACCCTGTAACCTATACCAAAGAACCACTTCAGCATTTCCCAGCAAGGAATAGGGAAATACAAGACATACTCTTATTACACCGGCAATTGGATTACCTGGTTTTGCCAGTATTACTACTCGTAAAACCAATAATACTCTTAACAGACCTGATCAACGCATTGCCAAACAACAGCCATGTAAACACGGCCCAACATGCAACAACAGATGAGGCTGTTTTTTTCTATGTAATCTGTGCCAAGCAACAGTAGGAACGGGGTTCTCTGTGACCACTTGTTAGGTCACGCAACAATTCTTACAACAGAACTGTGTTTTCTGTGTGGTCTGTGCCACAGCTATATAACAAGATTCCCAGAATTGTGAGCGCTGTCAACCCCATGTGGAGGCGGGGTCGAATACCTCCACCGTGACCCTGCGAGTCGTAGGAGGCGACGAAAAGGGAAGTCTCAATTCTGAGACAGTAAAATATGGTCGCGAGTCCCAAGGAACTCGGACCCGAGTAAGACTGCACTGGCAAGGGCCAGCAGCATATACAAAAGACAGACCCGTCCTCTTGTCAGAGAAGGCGCCCCACAGAAACAAGACCGTAACTGTCAAACGATAATAATTAATATTTGGTCATGAGCCCCAAATGGGGCTTGACACCAAGACTTACTGATTGACTGACCGTCAGTCGCAATGTGACTTTGACTTTGACTTGTGAGTGCTGGAGAGTCCCCACCTGTGTGGAGGCGGTGTCAAATACCTCCACTGTGACCCTGCGAGTCATAGGAGGTGACGAAAAGGGAAGTCTCAAATCTGAGACAGTAAAATATGGTCGCAAGTCCCAAGGGACTCAGACCCGAGAAAGAATGCGCTGGCAAGGGCCATCAGCATACACAAAAGACAGACCCGTCTTCTCGTCAGAGAGGGCACCCCACAGAAACAAGACCATAATTTTCAAACAGTAATAATTATTACCTGGTCATGAGCCCCAGATGGGGATCGACGCCGAGACTTACTGAGTGACTGACCGTCAGTCGCAATGTGACTTTGATTTTGACTTGTGAGCGCTGGAATATTAAAATTAATGAAGATAGGACTCAGGGGGTCTACTTCTCTCATAGTCGTCGACCACCTGAGTCTTGTCTCACTCTAAATGGACGAAATATTCCATTTGTAAATAGTGCAAAATATCTAGGTGTAATCTTCCATAAGAGAGTTACATGGAGATTGCACATAGAAATGATCGAAGCCTAGGCCTTCAGAACATTCATTAAGGTATATTCCCTATTCAAAAGGCGACTGAGTGCTCTAACATTAAAATGACCCTCCACAAAGCTCTCATTAGATCCGTAATGACTTATGCTAGTCCCGCCTGGGAATTCACAGCAGACACTCATCTAGTGAAATTGCACCACCTGCAAAACAAGGTTCTCCGCACCACTGGCAATTTTCCAAGGCGCACACCGGTTCGCGATTTGCACATGGCATTTAAAATCCCGTACGTTTATGACTATAGAACAAAATTATGCAGGAAACAAGCAGAAGTCATACAAAATCATGAAAGTGAGAATGTTCGCAACATCGGACAAGGCGAAGCCCGACGCAGAAAGTATAAGAGGCTTAAACTTGGCGGCGGTCAGGCATATGATGACTAGACTACTATGGTAGCGAATACTACTAGAAATAGGGCAAAATCTGCTGTACTGAGCCTGGATTGACAGAGGCCTTGTACTCGTATATATTGTACATAGAAATAGGAATCAAGATTAAATTTGTAAATATATGTAAATACTGACAATGGACTTACTAACACAGACTATGACTGACAAATGACAGACCTGACCTCTCGACAGAGAGGGCGCCCGAAATGAACAGGACAGTAACTTTCATATAAAGAAGAAAAAAATCTAGTCACGAGCCCCAGTCGGGGCTCGACACCAAGACAGACTGACTGACTGACCGTCAGTCGCAATGTGCCTTGACTTGAAATGAGGGAGTGACAGAATTCATTCAAGGGCAGTTACAAGTCAGTCATAAGCTGGAGGAGCGAGTCCACAAGAATTTTTAGTTCCAAGGTTCCAGAGTGATTGAAGATGAAATAGCAAGAAGACCTCATAGTGAGATGAGTGCTAGTTTCAGTGTTGACATCAGCTGTCAGGAGACGACTAGTGAAGATGGACAATCCTAGTGTGTGTGCAATGGTCAACTGGAAATTGTGTAAATTAGCAATTACGCGGTATTTAAGAGTGATTAAGAGAACTTATAACCAAGGTGCTAATAAATTCAATCATCTGAACCAGAACCCATTATTTTCATCATGTGTACCACCCTACACGTGACCATATGTTTGACTACAGAAATCACGCAAAACAGATTTAAGTTTAAAGTGAACTAACTTACACTGCAGGGATCTCATGACTTAACCAAGGGTAACCTTAACTGGTATAATTACTGATGTAGGATCACTGGAAAGAGATGTACCCCTTTAAAGCACAGTGATAACTATATGTACCCACCTTATTTAACATCATGGAGTTCTGCATTTCAAACACAGAGTGCATTTATGCGTTTCGTACTATTCACACAATAAACAGCAATGATTTCCCTGAACAGCATTAACTGATTTCTCCTTGTTCTGGAGATGAATGTGTTTTCTATAAGTTAGGAAACAAATATTTTCATGTTACTTAGAAAAATTTCAGATCTGAAAGTGACCCTTTGTTCTCCAGACAGAAAAGCATGCAACACACCGTTACTCTTCCCTTTAGGACCTCTCCTTCTGAAATTACAGTCTGTTGAGATATCCACCCTCTGTATCTGTTGAGCAACAAACCCCACTGCCTTATATCACGACCGCCACTTCATTTACTGGTCCTCAACACATAAACATTCTGTCACATTAAAACTGAACAAACTAGCCCAAGCTACTGCATAATGTTTTTGGCTTGTATTTTAGAGATGCCTAGTTCATATCTCTGCTGGAACTGAGAGTATCATGACTGAGCTGTTGTCCCATCCCACCACACAAATGCTGGGATAGTACCTCATATTGGGACATGATCTGTTGTTCCCTTCACATCCTTTCAAATTCTTTATTCTTCTTAACATAAACAAAGAAATAATATGGCAGTGATAAATGTAGATTTCAAAGAATGTTTGTTACTGTTCTAGACATGGATTTCAGTTCACGCTATCACTAGGCACATAAGTCTCAAATTCTTGAAAATGCCCATTATCAAAGATGGATCACAGCAGGAAATTTGGTGTAGCACAGGCAATTTTATTTCTGCCTCATTTCTCAGAATTTTTCTATGGTTTCATCTCGATCGTGTTATGGTGAGAAGTCCTCGTATGTGCCTAACAATGACAGCCCACATTCCTTGCTCTGTATGAAAATCCAACAGTCTTTGTGCTCAGCAAGAAACATGTTACAGTCATACCTTGTGCTTGGTGAGGAGCTTGGTGGCGGCATCGCGGTCACGCCCGTAGTCTGTTGAGCTCAGTACATCATTCTTCTCACTTAGCCAGCTTTCCACTTCTCCAGCCTCGAAGAAGAATTGCTGTGCCTTGAGAGACAAGTCCAGCTTGTGACTGCGATTCTGTGCCCGGTCCTGCAGATCCTTCCAGGCATCCTGAAGCCCCACACACAGGCTCTCGATCTGCATCGCATCACATCACATCAGTTTATATTTCTAGCCATTACCTGAGACTGGTGATCAGCAGAAGATGCAAAGCACCCCAGTTCCCATTGCAGGTCTGACTGCTTACAAGATTTGAGCTTTTCATGGCAGTGTGGATTTAGGTTGCAATATCTGCCAGAGGTAGCATGTTGGTATCCACCCCTAAGACTGTGTGACATCACAACCGAACACTACAAGTTGAATATGAAGTTTGTAGTAGCATAAAAAAGAAGGCCTCTTTGTGGCCTACCAACTAAGCTCACAGTTATCATTTCTGGGAAGTGCATGATTCATGTCTAGACCAGGCAGTTTCCATACAACCTCAGATGATTTTCAAATTCTTCACAATTCATGATATTTCCATATTATATAATTTCTGCAGTTAGTACAGCATTCTTAAGCAAGTACTATCACATACACACACTAAATAACAGACATATGAGTATTTAAACTCAAACAGCTCCTAGTCTCAAACATGCCATATTCACACTTATCAATGCATGCACAACCTCAGCCATGGCTTAATTTAATTTACAAGTGTACCAAATGTTTATGCTTTTCCAAGCAGATTTATGGTTTGAAACTTAATGGGCAATTTGATACAGACGAGCAGGATTGCATTTTAGGGTTACTTGCAGCTGGCTTTTAAAATCTAATGGTTAACGATACTGAAAGGTGTCCACCTGTGGCCTTAAATAGGGATGACTATTACAGAACAAACTGGAAATGCCAAACAACTTTTAGTCATAACTCTCTTGCTGAATTTTAAAGAAATCTGTCCACTGACACAGGTACCACTCCCAGGATAGGCATGTGCCTGTGCACGCATATATATATATATATTTTTTTTTGCTTTGCGTAGAATGCCCAAAAGGAAATCCCTAATGAGTAACCTGTAATGATTACTTTTGACACATTCATCTGTTTAAGTAGATCAGAAAGAATGAAGATTTTTCAGGAGTATACAGTAAACTTGCAACAATGAGGTCATAAGACATGACATGAGACTTACTAACACAGCTTGGTAAACAGAAATAAGGCTCAAATTAAACAAAAATAAAATGTTGTTCATTCTGACCAAAAGGAAAATTTTCACTGCTCAAAATTTTTCTGTGAAGCAAACCAAAAAATACTGCTACATATTTATGGTTTCCGACTGCTAACAGAACTATCTAGTGTTCCAATACTATGGCCCTTTCACAATGCATTCTCTGTGAAACATTTTTGTATTATCTTTCCAACATTCTGTACACATCTTTTGCTGTCACTACTGCATGCAACACACAGAGACATCCACTCCACTTACCATGATCAACCTCCATGCCAGCTCAATGCCATCTGAAGGACAAACAGTGACAGTCAACAACCTGCATGTTGTTTCACAACAAAGTCTATGCCCCCTTTTCCACATTTCACCATAACTATGCGGACACCACAGACAAAAGGAGACTTTAGTCACAGACACTTTTCTTTAAAGTTCTGTATAAAAAGAATCCAGCTCCTGTTCCAGCCACTAATGAGGTGAATGCTCACCTTCTCCACACGTCATGTGTAATGAGGTCAATAGCTACTGGGTTTCTGGTTTGATATGCAATTCCAGATTACAGCTTTGGCTGTGCAGTGAGTAAAAAATGTTTGCTGAGAACACAGACTAACTTTTATATGTATTCTGCTGCCCTGGGCCTGCCAGCCACAAGTTACATATCATCCTATTTCCCCTGGTCAATGGAGGTGTACTGAAGCACTGCTGCTTAACACTTTAAGGAACAGCTGTGACATGAACCACCTGCTTTAATTACAAAATTCTACACTTTCTGCACACAGAAAGTGGACTGTTTCTCTTATCACTTGCAGCATCCTGACAGCGCAATAAAACAATGACCGTGAGACTACATTTAGATCAAATAAATTCTGATCAGCATTAAAGCTTCATAGGCAAAGAATGAGTCAGGTGACTCATTGTACCTGCTTGGTCTCTGGGTGGGCCTGCTCAACAAGGGCTTGGCCAGATGCAAGTGTGCGGTCTATCATAGGCTGGTGGCCGGTGATTTCTGCCTCAAGCTTACGATGTTTCTTGTGCAAGGACTGTGCCTGGTGCAAGTTTTGCCCCAACTTGTCAGAAGCCGCAAGGGGCAGATGCTCCTTGATCCACTGCTGCTCTGTGTCCAGTTCAAACACAAATTTGTGAAACCGCAGTGACTCCTCAAGTGCCTCACGCCGCTTGCGGGCTGGTCCTCTCAGTGCACTGAATCTGTATCAGAACACAACAAAACTCTCTAAAGCCTCTACATCTGCAGCAATATGTGCCAGAATCCGAAGCCAGTTCAAAACAGTCAGCATCCTCACAACCCAGTTTAATGCCAACCTTCCACCTCAGTCTTGGGCTTTCAAGTGACCATTTTCAGAACTAAGTACAGATTTCTTGTTGCTCTTGAATAAGCAACAAAAATATCTGTGCTTTTACAGGCTTCACTCACTTGTCTTGGCAGTTGCAACTGGCACTCAGGATGTTGTCAGCATCAAAATGGCCCTCATGAGCCATCTCCTTGCCCAGCTCCACGAGGTCGCTGATCTTCTGATCCCACTGGCTCATGTCAGTCTCTAGCACCTGCAGATAATCATGTGTCAACTTCAGAGATTTACAAGCAAAAGCAAAACCCACATGAAAGCCAAAACTGAGCTTGAAATATCAGAAAGATCCATCACAGATACAAAGTATAAACATTTTGTGCCAATGTGGAATGGGAGGGCAAATGTGATGAAGGAAGATTGTGAAACTGCTGTCCACATATTTTCCTTCCCTGTCTGCAGCACCTTCACATCCTCACAACCTGCATCAGCGAGATCTTTACTTGCCACTTGTCACATTACCACAACAGTGCACACTTGCAATCCTGCCATCAAATGATACATTTTTCAATACCAATCATTACTTTCAACTAAAACATGGCCACCAAACCTGCCAAATCCCATACTCCCAGATGATACATTACTGCCCCAGAAAATCAAGGCAGTTAACTCTGCAGACACATGAAATTTAAAATCCTAGCACCAGGCAATGAAGGTTAAAGTTATCCTTCCAATTACCTCACTTTCTACCATAAGGATTGCATTTCTTGTTACTTATCCAAACAAATTGTCACTTGCAAAGAGAGACTGCATGTTTTACGGAATCTGGTACATAAGGCTATATGTGCTCTAGCTGATGAATGATACATCAGCATTATTATGTGCTGACAGCAGTGCATCATGTTCATGCATATACTTACTCATGGAGCTGAGCCCTTCTTGAGGAGCTACCAATTCTGCAGCTACTCAAGAAATTCCAAGTATTTTATGGAACCCGAAGGTTCATCACCGTGTTCACTAGAGCCCTCCACTGGTCCCTATACTGAGCCAGATCTATCCAATCCATACCATCCCATCCTATCTCTCTAAGATCCATTCCAATATTGTCCACCCACCTACACCTTGGTCTTCCTTGTGGTCTCTTTCCTTCTGGCATTCCCACCAATATCCTATATGCATTCGTCTCCCCCATTCGTCCTACATGACCTGCCAACCTCATCCTCCTTGACTTGATCTTTCTAATTATACTTGGAGAAGAGTACAAGTTATGAAGCTCCTCATGTTCATGCATATATGAATCAAAATGACTGTGATGTGTACTTATAAAAAGGAAGACTTCCACATATGAAATGACATTACCTGATGCTTCTTGAGGAGCTCCTTGCAGTGCCTCAGGTCAGTGCCCACTTCACGCGACTGCAGACTCACTTCAATCTCCTCAAGCTTCAGGCGGGCATCCTCCATCGTACGGTTGTACATATGCTGCGCAGCTGCTTGCCGCAGTCGTCGGCCCTTGTCACGCGACAATGCCACTAGCTCATCCCATGTCATATTCAGGTCCTGGAGCATCTGCCTCACATCTAATTGCCGGTAGCTGCCCTCTGACAGCAGCCCCTGCCCAGTCTGCAAACAACACATACAGCTGAAACACAGTTTGTTCTTAAAACAGAGAGTAAGACAACACTGCCTTTGGTACTGACCTTGTTGACTGCACGCAACTGTCCCTCATTCGCATGCAGTTCTCGCTCAAAGGCCTCATGTTTCTGCAGCTTACGCTCCAAGTTAGTAAGGTCCCTGTATGACTCATCACTTGCTGTCTTCAGTTTCTCAGCCATCCATCCGCGAAGGTCATCTACATCTGCTGAGAAATCGTGGAACTTGCGGGAAGCATCAAGTGTGACCTGTCGAGCTGCCGCAGCTTCCTTCACTGCAGATCGCCGCGCCACCACCTGGTTACGCCGCTCATCAATACTGGACAACACACACAACATGTGTTACTGAGATACAACTCTTTGAGTTTCCTAATAACATTAACCCTCACCTCTCCAATGGGAGCAAACAGCGTGCTGCACTGTAATGTCACTTCATGCAAGACAACACATCATAAAGAACCCAGAAAGACTCACTGTTTGCTGTCATAATGTCCGGCTCCTATTAGCTTATCTGCCAGCTCACTGAATGCCTTCAGTCGTTCATCTTGTGCGAAAAGGGTGTTCTCAAAGTCTTCGTGCCGCTTTATCAGTGCCTCCACATCGTCCAAGGATCCCTGTCAACAGTATAACAACTCACTGTCCCAGATCACACATCATTTCTTGCCACAATACACATTCCCTTTTGCTAGCAACTTACCCCCAAGTCTGTGTTGGCCAGGAAGACCTCATGGCTTGATGTCGAAGCCTCGATCTGGTCTGCTTCCCTGTTCAGCAGCTGAAGGTCCAGGCACTGCCGCAGCCAGTCACCTTTCTCACCCCAGCCACGAATGACGGCCTGATGTTCCGCATTCAGCCGCACAAGTCGCTCTGCCACATCTGTGAGGGCTGGATTCCTCTGAAGCAGCTGTCTGCCCAGACCAGTCAGCTCTCGGAACTCGTCTTCATGTGCCCGGACATCGTCACCTAGCTCCTGGTGCTTCTTCAGCAGGTGTTCTGCAGTTGCCACATCTCGGGCACTTTCATCTGCATTCAGAGCCTCCTTCACTGATGCCATCCACCCGAGCTGCAACACAAGCACAATTCATCAAAATCCATCAAGTAAAACTGCAGGCATCATGTATTTCACAATCACAATTCTCCATGTATCTCTTTATGCCATCAGGATTATCAAAAATATATGAACACACAACACCAAGATGCTCCATGCTATGCAGTTTGCTCCTTTCCCCCACACCACAGACTTCCAATGACTTCAAAACTACTGCAGATACAGGTCCAGCTGAATTAACAATATGCAGTCTGTTCAGAAAGTTTTGTAACTTTCGAAACAGTGAGCCAACTTGACGTCTTAGCAATGTTGGGTAAGTTGTGCTGCCTAGTGGCATATTTCCTAATTATCATCGTTTTTGCTGTGTCATCCTGCTGTGATTAGACATCGCCCTAGAGCTACTTATTCATATGAGTGTAGAATATGTCCTGCAATATTCGCGATGGCTGATATTCATGAGCATGAAAGTCATGTTGACGGTTTTCTTTTTTTTGACATTGAGGGTGTTGTGCATCATGAATTCTTACACCTGGGGAAAACAGTGAATCACTGATATTTTCTCGAGGTGCTGAAAGGTCTACGTGAAGATGTCAGGAGAAAAAGACCGAGTTTTGGAGAGAGAAATCCTGGTCCCTCCATCATGACAATGCATCAGCTCATGCATTGCTACTGATTAGGGATTTCAGTTTGAGAAACAAGAAAAAGTCAGCCAGAGTTGGGTGGCTGAGGAAGCACAGTTTTGTTCATGTTGACCAAAAAGTCACACACACATGAAGAAATAGCTCTAGGGTGATGACTAATCACAGGACGATGATGTGGCAAAAATGATAATAATTAGGAAGCATGCCACTAGGCAGCACAATGTACCCAAAATTGCTAAGAAACCAAGTCTGTGCATTATTTAAAAAGTTCCAGAACTTTTTGAACAGACCATGTAGTCACTCACCAGGTTCTTGGAGCTGTTCATGAAAATCTGGTGCCCCACTGCATCTTCCAGGCGAGACCGTCGTTCCATAGCCTTCGCCTTTACCTTCTCCCAGAGATCCTGTATTTCCTTCTGGCGTGCATTTACATTTGATCTCTCGTTTGGATATGATGACTTGACAGAGTTGGCCAAAAGGTTGACCCTGTTCACTTTTTCTTCCACAGGGGCAAGCTCCCGTTCCAGATGATGGTGGCGCCTCTGTAGTGCCTGCACTGTCTTGAGGTCAGGCCCCAGCTCAGCTGTGTCCAGCTGCATCATCTTCTCCAGCATCCAATCCCGGGCCTCATCACATGTTCGGTTGAACAGCTCCACGCTGTAAAGTACCGTTTTTATCAATGACAACATACCATCTAGCTGCGATGTGAAAGATGTCTGGCCGAATACCTGCAGTTAGCCTGTCCTAAAACTGCAGTCACTTTATGTTACTAAGCTGATTTCACCCACAGGAACTGAGGAAATCCATAAAACTGACAATCAGGGTCACATAAACAAGGTACGAGTCTGATTAACTGTTTCATGTCTTTGGTCACTATATTTCACTACTCTTTGCTCACTACACTATTCTCATACCAACAAACATTACCATCATAAACCGCTCTGCTTCCACACTCAGAATAAAGTCAAGTCATGAAATATCCAGTCAGTCACCTGGATGCCCCCTCCAGGCTGCGCTCCTTCTGTCCCTTGAGCCAATTCAGGTGGTCCCACAGCTGATGGATGTGTTTCTGTCGTGACCGCACCTTGTCCAGCTGGCTATGCCCCTGGTGCACAAACTCCTCCACAGCCGCATCCAGTGCCTCGATGCGCTTGCTGCTTGCTGAGAGGTCCGTGAGAAATTTCTGCAACATGCCAGATAAGTGTGACGAAAGAGCCCAGTGGACCATTCACTGTCATTCCACATCCCCTTATGGCCAGAAGATGGGAGCTTGGTGGACTGCAACGCTGAGTTCAGCAGGTCACAGACAGCACAAACAAAAACTGCGGTGCACCGGAACCCTCTAGCTATAAGACGTTATTCCAGATGTCTGCTACCCTCAGCCCCTCCAGGCAAATACTTGGACAAGACATTACCTAGACCAAGAAATTTCCATTCATAATCATCTGACCATTTGACACTAGGTATGTTGTTCAAAAGTGTCATTAAACAAACAAATGGGCTTTGTCTGTTTCTTTGTATACATACTAACTCCATGGTGATCAGTGCTTTTAAGAGTAAAATAATTAGGACTCCGTGATAAATGTGTAAAGAACATGCAATCTGAAGTCCTCACCTCGTACTTGCGCTTTGCAGTCTCCACATTATCTGTTGAGTCATCAGCTCGCAACATGCGCTCCTTGTCTTTAATCCACTTCTCAAAGTCATCACATTCCCTGTAGAACCCATATAGATGGATCGCGTCCTCTAGTAGAGCATGGCGTTGCTGCAAGTGACAATAAACATGAAACATAGCACAGGTAGCAGTAATGTATTTACAGTTCACATTATCAACCAGGCTGTCACACTTACCTGTGCAAGGTCAAGAAGCTGATTATATGTCGCATTTATCTTCTTCTGTCGCTTCTCAACATTCTCATTCTCATCCTCTGACTTTCTCTTCACTGGACACCCTGCAATATGATATCATATGGTCATAATAATAACACACCAGCTTCTGCAAGAGTACAGCAGAACATGTGAAATAACTACAACCAGTGTTTCCTTGTGCACTCACCAGCGGGCTTGGCAGGCCGAACCCTGCGAATGGGAGTAATCTGCTTCACCATTCTCGTTTTCTTGACACGTCGCATTTCACAGATCTTCTCTGGATGGCGCACTTGGACTTTCACCACTTTAGGTTCAATCTCACGCACATAGTTGGCAGGCACAAAGCCATCAGTGCCATCTGCCTTGCGCACATTCCACCAGTCTGGGTTTGTCTTGTTAAGCAGAAACATCACTTCACCTTTTGGCATAGTCATGCCCTGCCCAGTGAACGCATACAGACTGCGTACCTGTGGAACCTGGCGCTCCTCCAGGACAGTTCGATGTTCAACACGCTCCACTGGCTCCTCCTCCCAGTAGTCCTGGGGTACCAGTCGCATCTCCTTCACCCATTCCTCCTGATCCAATTCCTGCACTGGCTCCGGTTCTGACCACAGCTGCACAAGCCAAGGAACTCTTAAGTCAGTTTTGGAAACACGGACACAGTTAACCCTTTGAAGCACGGCAATAACTACACATACCACTTGCTTCAGAAGCCAGGACAGCTCAGTCAGTATAGGGAGTAGGTTACGGGTTCCATAATCAAGGAGTTCGAGTTTCGATTCTGAGGCACAGGCACACCCAGCCTCCTATACAATAGGTACTGGGGGGGGGGCTACTTCCCAGGGCATAAAACAACAAAGGTATGAAACTGATCACTCATCTCCATCTAGTGTCGAGGTTAAGACTGGTGGAGCTATACCTCCACCACCTTACATTTTCAAGGCATGGTGGTTAATTAATCAAGCCCATGGATAACTGTATCACTTGCTTTAACATTAAGAACTATGGATTCTTCCCACATTAAGGTATTTATGCATTTTAAATGAGCCTCACAATAGAGAAGAACAATTTCCTTAAACAGAACAAACAAACGGGTCATAATTATATTTTCTGTGAGGCAGAAACTGACTTTATAAATATCATTTAGACGAACATAAGAATTCAAGATTTCTTGAATCTTGTGCTTGTAGCACCTACTTTCATTTCAGTGAAATAGACAGGGCAACGATGCTAGGAGTAATGTTGATTACATGCTTCAGTGACATAATCTGATTCCTGCAGTACGGACTTCCAGTACCTGAATACTGTCTGACATAACTTCAAATGTTCATGCATGAGGAATGCGTGCACTCGCCACAAAAGGGTGTCATAATTTTGTTAATGTGTGTTTACAGTCCATCATCTCATACTTGAACAGCTGCTGGTAATGAAACATAAAGTAACTGTGGATTTTGAGTGTGACATTATGTTGGGGATAAATATGAGAAAATTGGACTAAAAGGTGGGCTTTGCTCAAATACGGAATTAGGGACATATGTGCCCCTCAGGGAATCAATGTGATAACGATACAGACACCACACACAGTCCCCATGACAACTTTGGTTCCCTCACCTCCAGTGTTGATATACCAGCCTGCACCAGCTTCTCAGCCTGGCTATTCAGGCTAGCAACGTCTCCACGGTAAGCATTCAGCTCCCCCTGGAGATCACGGTGTCGCTGGAGCAGTGCCTGAGCACTTGGCTCATCTTCACCATAGTCTGCTGATGCAACTAGTGCCATCTTCTCATTCAGCCATGATTCTGCTTCATTGGCATCAGTGTAGAACTGCAACAGAACAAATTTCTTGGCTTCACAACCATCATCTAGTTACTATAAGGATGTAACTTTCCTCTTTCCATTACAGGCCACGAGTAAACACACCAAACACTTTCAATTATTTACTCCATACTCCTGCTCATTACAAATGTTAGCCACACCTACTGAGACTGGTGTGCAAGTGCCGTGGTGGAGCTTCTGGTTGTGATTTGGGTCCTTAGTAAAAGCCTTTATTTTAATTATATCAGTAAACTTGAATTTATTGACATAAATATGGCAATAAATCATTTTCTGGCGATAAATAGGTACTTCTGCTTGCTAACTATATGAAATGGTTCTATCTTTCCAGTTTCTTTCCTGCCATCCTGTGGCTGTTAAGATACCAGAAGGGTTTCACGAACCATAAAATGATCTACCTGCACCACCATTTTGTCACAAGGCAATCACATAACGCATTAAGTGTTCACCACGCAGTACCACAGCAGTAATTAGTATACATAAGATGTGAGGAGTCACATGTGGAAAGCCCGGAGGAAAGAGACAACTAGGAAGACCTAGACACAGATGGGAGGATAATATTCAGATGGATCTTGGAGAGAAAGGATGGGGCACTATGGACCGGATTCATCTGGCTCAGGACAGGGACCAGTGAAGGGCTCTTGTAAACATGGTAATGAACGATAAATGATATAAACTCCGTCTCAAGTGCAAACAATATATTTTGTGTCTTTGATCTTGCTCCTACACTACATGTTTCGGCCTCAGACGGCCATCATCAGGTGTATAACACTCACGTCGCTGTCACACTGCACCCAGTTCAAAATTTAACATCTAAAACACTCTCCCTGTCATTATCAACTTCTACTTCGTTGATAGCTGTCCACCCGTAGATTACTTCACACACGTTAATTTTGAGTTTATTGTAATAGCACCATAATAAAATCTTTAGTTCTAATTTTAAACCTTTAAATTCTTGTCCAAATTTTAAAAATTTAAAATTGTTAGGGTTATTCGCCCTGTGTTTGAAGTGCTGCAGCGGCTAGTTCTTGTTTCCACACTGTATAGGTGTTATCTGTAATATACAAATATATTTGTATTACTATCTTATGTATGTGGTGTTTTCTTATGTGTGTATATTGTTATTTGTACTTACCCTGTGTAGTCTTTCTGTGTGCGTGCCGCTGCTATTCTTTACTACGTGTGCTGTCTGATGTACTGTGTGCTGAGTTTTATGTTTGTGAGTGTAGGGGGGGGATGGGTAGTGGGGAGAGGAAGGTACCGTTAGTCTGTATAGATTTCGTGTATCGTTTGAAATATGGGATTGTGTGTTTCTATGTGTGTATCATTCATGTGTAGGCCTTTCTTACTTATTTTATATATATGGTATTTCTCTAATGTATTCAAATGTCTGCCCTTCTTTCCCGTTGTTACAACTTCCATTACCTCTGTTATTGTTCCGTATGCATGTCCTGTATTTAGTATGTGGTTTGAGTACCCGGAATTGCTATCATTATTCCTAATATCATGTATATGTTCTTTATATCTAGTGTTAAATGTTCTGCCCGTTTGCCCAATGTATTTCAATGGGCAATCTACACATTTCATTTGGTATATGCCACTTTTATTGTATTTATCTATTTGTGGTTTTTGTTTGAGTATATTTTCTATTGTGTTTCGTGTGCGGAATGCTACTTTTATCTGTGTGTCTTTGAAAAGTTTTGTAATTTTTCTCACTTCTTTTGTACTATATGTAAATATGGCCCACTTTGTTTTATGTTGTTCGTTGTCATGTGTGTTTGATTTTTGTTTTCGTGTTGTCTGATTTAATCTTTTGATTATGTTTGTGTCGTATCCGTTGTTCTGTAGTATGTTTTTAATAATGTTCTTCTCTATTTGTTTTCCTTTTTCCGTTATTGGGTATGTGTTGAGTCTATTTATTAGGTAATTAATACCCGACAATTTGTGCTCGAATGGATGGCACGAACTGTTAGGTATTATGATGTCTGTTTGTGTGGGTTTCCTATATATTGTGAATTGCAAACTATCTTCATTGCGATATATTGTTATATCTAGAAAGTTAATTGATTCTTGTTGTTCTCTTTCAATGGTGAACTTTATATTTTGTTGCAATTCATTGATTTCTTTGAGTGTATGTTCTATGTTTGTTATTTTTTCATCATATATTATTAATATGTCATCGACATATCTGAAGTAGGCCACTATTTGTTGTTTTACTAGAATGGGATATATTTGCGTGTGTTCCATATATTGTATATATGTTTCCGCTATTATAGCTGATGTAGGGGCTCCCATAGCTAGTCCATCTGTTTGTTTGTAGTATTCTTCGTCAATTTGGAAATAATTTTGTTCAAATACTGTTTTTAACATATGCATTATTTCTTTGTGGCTTTCTTTATTTATTTTATGGTTTTTTCCTAATATAGTGTTTATTATATCTATGGTGTTAGTTTTTGGTATATTTGTATACATGTTTTCAATGTCAAAGGAACATAATCGTATGTTCTCATTAAGTTTAATAGCTTGTAAATCTAACATTAAGTGGGAGGAGTTTTTGACATTGTATGTGTTTGGTAGTTCTAGATAATCATGCAACACTTTCGCCAATTTCCTTGTCATTTCGTAAGCTGGGGCGTTCTTCCAGTTTATTATTGGTCTAATGGGTGTGTTAGGTTTATGTAATTTTATTGTGGCGTGTAGGTTTGGGGCTGTGGGGTTCATATTTGTAAATCTCCATTTGTCTTGTATGATGTTATTACACTGTTTCAGTGTTTGTTTTACCGCCCTTTGATATTGTTGGGTCGGATTTTTGTCAATTTTAATGAATTGGTTATTGTGTATGAAGAGATTTATTTTCTGTTTATATTCTTCTTGTGTTAGTATTACTAGTGTTTTTCCTTTATCTGCTTTCGTTATAATAAGTTTATTCTCTTCAATTTTATTTTTTATATTCATTATTTGTTTCCATTCCCTTTTATCTTCCTTATCTTTATTGGTTTTATTCCTTTCGTTATTCTTGTGTATATCTTTTAGTTTCTTCGCAATTAGGTGTCTATAATAACTTTGTTCTGTTATGTCTAAGTTATTTACTGCTGTTTCAGCTTCTAGGGCTAATGTCTCAATCCATTTTTTATTCTTGTGATGTAGATTATATTTCAGGCCTTTACTTAGTAACTGGGTTTCTTCGTGTGTAAATTGTATATTTGTTTGATTCACTACTCTCATGTATTGTATGTTTTTGCTTGTTATATTTATATTTTGTGTTTTCTTCATATTGTTTATTTTTTGTTGTTGTTTTAGATATGTTGTTTCTATATCTTGTTGTAACTTTTCTTCTATTGATTGCTCGATGTTATTCCATGTTCTTTGCCATGTGTTTGCATTGTGTATGTGTATGTGATAAAGTTGTGTGTTTAATTGTTGTTTCTTTTTATATAGAAATTTTATTTCATTTTTTATGCGTAATGTTTGGGCTTGTATTTGTGTTTTCTTAGCCGCTTCATTGTTTGTTGTTATTTTCACGTATGCGTATTTTGGTACTAGTTTTTCCTTCAGACAGGTTTTGTTAAATTTTATGTTAGCGTTGCAGTGTAACAGTTTCCGTTTACAATTCATATATTTATAAATGCTTTTTGTATGACTACTGTTTACAATATTATATTTAAGCATCCTGTTGCACTCCATACGATAAATGATACAAACTCCGTCTCAAGTGCAAACAATATATTTTGTGTCTTTTGATTTTGTCTCCTACACTACATGTTTCGGCCTCAGACGGCCATCATCAGGTGTATATCACTCACTTCGCTGTCACACTGCACCCAGTTCAAAATTTAACATCTAAATACTCTCCCTGTCATTATCAACTTCTACTTCGTTGATAGCTGTCCACCCGTAGATTACTTCACACACGTTAATTTTGACTTTATTGTAATAGCACCATAATAAAATCTTTAGTTCTAATTTTAAAACTTTAAATTCTTGTCCAAATTTTAAAATTTTAAAATTGTTAGGGTTATTCGCCCTGTGTTTGAAGTGCTGCAGCGGCTAGTTCTTGTTTCCACACTGTATAGGTGTTATCCGTAATATACAAATATATTTGTATTACTATCTTATGTTTGTGGTGTTTTCTTATGTGTGTATATTGTTATTTGTACTTACCCTGTGTGGTCTTTCTGTGTGCGTGCCGCTGCTATTCTTTACGTGTGCTGTCTGATGTACTGTGTGCTGAGTTTTATGTTTGTGAGTGTAGGGGGGAATGGGTAGTGGGGAGAGGAAGGTACCGTTAGTCTGTATAGATTTCGTGTATCGTTTGAAATATGGGATTGTGTGTTTCTATGTGTGTATCATTCATGTGTAGGCCTTTCTTACTTATTTTATATATATGGTATTTCTCTAATGTATTCAAATGTCTGCCCTTCTTTCCCGTTGTTACAACTTCCATTACCTCTGTTATTGTTCCGTATGCATGTCCTGTATTTAGTATGTGGTTTGAGTACCCGGAATTGCTATCATTATTCCTAATATCATGTATATGTTCTTTATATCTAGTGTTAAATGTTCTGCCCGTTTGCCCAATGTATTTCAATGGGCAATCTACACATTTCATTTGGTATATGCCACTTTTATTGTATTTATCTAATTGTGGTTTGTGTTTGAGTATATTTTCTATTGTGTTTCGTGTGCGGAATGCTACTTTTATCTGTGTGTCTTTGAAAAGTTTTGTAATTTTTCTCACTTCTTTTGTACTATATGTAAATATGGCCCACTTTGTTTTCTGTTGTTCGTTGTCATGTGTATTTGATTTTTGTTTTCGTGTTGTCTGATTTAATCTTTTGATTATGTTTGTGTCGTATTCGTTGTTCTGTAGTATGTTTTTAATAATGTTCTTCTCTATCTGTTTTCCTTCAAACACAGGGCGAATAACCCTAACAATTTTAAAATTTTAAAATTTGGACAAGAATTTAAAGTTTTAAAATTAGAACTAAAGA